TAATCTCTTATGTTATAGCAAGTTTTGTTACGAATTCATAATAAACAGAAGTGTTATTGGTATAAACTAATCAACTGATATATGACAAGGCAAATTGAAATACTCGAGCTATATTCAATAATGAGGCTACATATTACAAAAAAACTTCGTCTGCAAAATAATAGGACGAGTCTCAGGCGCGAACTTTGATTTTTTATGTTGTAATTCCAAAAGATATTATTGCTCTTACGGATGTACAGACGGACATGCTGATCAAATCTATATTTAGGTATGTATAGATAGTACCTATGCGATGGAGTGTACAACTCCTAGTCCCTGTGACACACACCTTCTATTGTGGGTATACTATTGCTATAGCCCTTCGGTTATAGGGTATTAGAAGCCTCAACTACTATTGAATACAACGGTATGTAACCTGACAGACTTCTTCCGCATTCAGTCGAAGTATGTAAGTTGATAAACTTTAAAGCCAATTAGTTGCATACTTTGCGGCGTCCACACGTAAATGGCATATACCAATATGTACGATAATATACGTGCATGTATGTGCTATATATGGATTGTCTAACATGAAATGCAAAGCTATTTATTAGGCGCCGCAACAGCAACAACAACATCAGCAACACAACGCAAAGGGCCCGAAAACCCGATGTGAGTGCAGCTCAAATAACACAAAAGCCAAAAAATAATGAAGCCTAGAACGTTGTCTGGCAGCCAATTGGCATGTTGCTAGGTCTAGCAATAAACATACACAGTGCTCCAACAGCTCCTGCCAAACCTTTTGCGCCAAAATGCGCGCTTCATCGATTTTTTTACTGCCTTCCTGAAGTCCACTCTGCCCTAAGTCGCTTCCATTCGTCTGCCCATCTTCCCAACACAACACTAACATTTTTCGTATTACATATTTACTAATAGTTGTTGTTGCCATTTCTATTGTGGTTGCTTGGCCGCCCAGCCCCCACCCATACACATGAATCCGACTTGGCTGCTTGTCGCTGTCACTGCCGCTGGCATAACCACTGCCACTGTCGCTGTCGTTTCATTTCATTTCATTGCGTTCCGTTTCGTTCGTTTCGTACTTCTTGTTCTTCTTCTCCTATTCACTTTATTAGCTGAAAGTCGTTGTGCCATTTTATTTTGGCTTTGCATAGGACACAACAACTATCTATGTATGTATAGTATGTATAAATGGCCTAGACACAAAGCAGTTTTGTTGCGGGCGTGTGCGACTGGCACATGAGCATAGTAATTGTTGTTGCTGTTATTGATGTTGTTGTTGTTGCGTTGACTTGTGCTTGGGATTGGGCTTGCACCCATTTAACGTACATCGACTGCTGTGCGCAGTTTGAAGCTTGTTGTTGTTGTTGTTGTTTCCATGCTGTCACGGCAAAGAACCGTTCAACATTGAGCTGTCATGTGATAATACGGCAGCTGCTTCGGTCAGAATGGATGTTGTAGCTTTGAACTCTTGCTATGCGCACAGGCCCATCACTTGGCCAACAAAGCCAAAACGGCAGAATTCAAATGGCAAGTGAATACTAGTAAGACATGATAGGGCTGGGCTCAGCGAACGCCATGCACTTGAATTGCATATGTTTCGACTTTTGACCAAGAACTCATTAATAATATGTAAAGAACTGTAATGTGCGCAAACTTTCTTAATCATTGAGTGCCATACTGAATTTAAATAATAAATACGTACTAAAGCGGAGATTTTCTGTCCTCTAGAGTAGAGTGAATCAAATGCTCATCTTGGAAATTGGAAAAGGTAGATATAGTGTTACAACAATTAACACGCTTGTGCATTAGGATTGTCAATGTAAAAATTTGAATATGTCTCAAATGGCGCTTTATCACACTGTTTAAGAAAGTACCAATTTTATTTATTTCATATTAAATTTAGAAATTTATTTTCACTAAAAATAGCCAAACAATTCATTTGTACTGTCTAAGCGTTCAGTTTTTCAGATTTTAGAGTACGCAATTGTTCTATTAAGAAGTTGGTTACGCCTGCAAAATTTCCCGGATAAAGTCAAGTCACAGTAATGTTCTTCCAGTATTTTAAATCTCACCCAAATCGATCATTCCCAACAAACTTGAAACAAACCCACAAAAACGACTTGAAAATTTAAGGTAAATGTAACAATAATATGGCGCTCTATCGATAAATATTAGGTCATCAACACGATCGGACTGTGCCCATCACAAACTTCTAACGTTTGTGTTTTTGCACGCCTTTTTACCATTTAGACTTTGTCATTTTCTTCCAGACACAAAACAAATGACACATGATTAAAATGTGTTTTCATATCAAATAGAAACATAACTTTCCTAATTGATATTATCATTTCTGAGTGTTTACTGTATCAGTATTAACTGACACTAATGATGCCCTCGACTAAAGCAACGCTATCTGACACCATTTCTGCTTCTGCTTATTTGCTTGTTGTTTAATGTCTAACGACAGCGTGTGCCGCTCAAAGAGAACGTGAATCAGGTAAGTTAAATAAATAAATAATTTGACATTAATTCGTAGACATGGCAACCGAAAGGTCGGCAACATAAAGCAAGTGATAGAAATTTGAAAGCTGCATATAATTAAAGAAAATCCGCACTAGTTAATACCATTTAATGGATGGGTTTCCACTAGGCGTATACGTAATATTTAAGCATGGGTGGGTATCAACTGTTATTATTCGGAAATAAAGCCAACCAGCTACTACGACCAACCAACATAAATTTTAGTTGGCTACATAGTTTTGCCTTTTCGGCAATCCCTTTCGCGCCCTGCCACCACCCTTGCTCTTCTCCATAAAGCGAACGCCCAACATCAATTTTGTGTGTAACTATTTATTGTACATGGAAATGGCACATTTACTTGGCTGCTTCCGTTGTTGACATGCAATGCCTCATAGCAACAACAACTCCCACAACAACGACAACAGCGACAGCAATAACAGCAACAGCAACAGCGACAGTAACAATAATATCGAAATGTAGCGCATTAAAACGCGAATGCTGAACAAGTTACACGCGAAGAATTCGTCGCATTGCCTTTCACACTAATTAAAAAGGTAAAGCTCGAATACAATTTGATGAGCATGTTCATGTGTTTTTTTTTTTTGGCGCCCTTTCCCCGTTTTGCCATCCCTTCAGAGACTGCATTTGAAACTAACCAGCTGCAATGATGGCCGGCCATTAGCCAATGAAAATTCCTTAGGTATTGCTGTTGTTGTTGTTGTTGTTGTTATTATTAGTGCTGCAGCTCTCACGAGCTAAACTGTGTCACCATGTGTGCCACGTTGTGTGTGTGTGTGAGTGTGAGTGAGTGTTTGCGTGTGCCTCTGAATAATTCATTTCACGTTGGGAATTGTATGACCTGCTCCACAACATGAGGGACATGCCAAAAACAACAGCTCTGACTCGACATATGTGCAAACAATGAAAAGTGGCGGCAGGTCAGATGCATGGCTCCCATACATAAAAAACTATGAGCCACATGGGTCTTGAGTCCTCGTATTTAATAGTCACGCATGCACACATGATGGTATGATAGAAGGGAGGAAGAATATTTTTCAAAATTGAAGTGGAACTATTTTTATTGAAATTACGTGTCGCACATCTTATTTTATTATTTTATTTGTTTTGGGCAGAGCATCGTTTATTTAGAATTTGAACATTCAAACGAATAATCAATTTTTTAAGAAAGTGTCATTTCTAGTCATTTTTATACCCTGTACCCGTAGGGTAAAAAGGGTATATTAGGTTTGTGCAAAGTATGTAACATGCAGAAGGAAGCATCTCCGACCCCATAAAGTATATATATTCTGAATCAGCATGACGAGAGAAATCGATCTAGACATGTCCGTCCGTCTGTCCGTCCGTCTGTCCGTCTGGATGAACGCGAGGATCTCAGAAACTATAAAAGCTAGAATAACCAAAGTTGGCATCCAGATTCTCCTAGGTCCGAGTAAGGACGAGTTTATTTTATTTTTTTTAATTTTCCCCCCCTTCCCCCGCTACAGAATTTCGTCAATAGCGTCCACATTTCAAATGCTACCTCAACCAAACTTTGCACACATAATTTATATATAATTGTCTACAGTTGTTTAAAATTATCCAATTCGGTCAATTCTGAGAAAAGTTATTAGCGAAACAAATTCTCTACCGTACAACCCCCACAAACTGCAGCAACAAGTTCGCTCTTCTTCTTCCTCTTTTTGCTGCTGCTATGGGCGCATATAACTCAGTGACGGAAGTTTACCTGGGTACAGGGTATTACACTGTCGGGCTTGCTCGACTGTAGCGTTCTCTCTTGTTCTGACTACCTTCATGACTTCTAAGCACAGCAATTTGTACTAATATATATATTTTAAATAAATTCTATTCTGCTATAAATAATACTAATTCAAAACATCTGATTGCGTTTCCTTCTGAAAAATCACAATCGAAATCCTTAAAATCCTTAAAAGATTAAATCTTAAGTTGATCTTTGTTGATCTCTGTTTCATTGAATATCCGGACTCTCATATAGACTATGCTGAATCCGTAGAATGCTTTTTGAACCCATCGTCTCGTCATGTTAATCACTTGTATGAAAGTGTTTACTAAAAAATGAGGAGTTGACTACAGCTAGAGGGGCAGTGACGTCTTGGATGCCACCTTTGTAAGTACAATGGAATTTGAAAGAATGAAGAAGTATCTTAATATATAGTCATAATACATATGCAACTCAACATTATAAGTAATTTTATTAATTATTTTAGATTCCCCAACGAATACACACATTTTCCGAAACGATCTGGCATCGTACAGAGTCTGAATATATCATTCACTTTTCATTATTTCCTGGCGTCTATGTAAGATATTGGGCCCGTAAATACAAAAACATATACAATAATAAATATAGGAATATATTTCTATAGTCCCTTCTCTTCTACTGTTTCTTGTTCATTAGAGAAGATTCCTGCTGTTTTATGAAAAATATATATGGTACTTACCAAAATTCGACCAGTTGTTGTTTGACCCGAGATAAGTTCTCCAGCCCAGTCTTTTGCTTCTGTCATAAATGTTCCCTCGAACTCCTGTTTGTTGCGTGACGCCTTCTGCTCCTTCTGCTTGGGATCGTTGGGTCCCAGCTCTGGCTCCTTGCGGCAACAAATGAAGGCGAATGCGCGCCATAGCAGCACGATGAGCAGCCCAGCAAGGAATGTAAAGATGCTGGAGAGCAGAAAACACCAGTATTTTCGAACTTTGAGACAATCATCGGCATCGAACGGTGAATCTGTTGGATCTTCAGCCAATGATTCGACAGTGCTTTGATCACACCCCGACATCCCCTACAAACAATACGACGCAAAAATAGCAAGCCCAGTGGTGGGGGGAGAGAAATAAGAAAGAATGGAAATAGTGTAAGAATTAGTAACTTGGCAATAGATATTGACGTTAAACATAATGATGAGCAATTGATAAAACTACAATGTGTCCACACTTATCTACATGCACGTACTATAGATCGTAAATAGCTGATATGTCATGTTTGTCATTTAAAATTTTAGCTTAAATTGTGTCGTCCCCCTCCCAAGTCTCCATCGACCCATTCCGCCATTGCTGTTGTGTGTCAGTGTCAGCGTCGTGGTCTTTGGTTTTATTGCTTTTAATTATTGCGCACAAATGTAAACAAAAATCGTCAGACCCAATGGCTGCCAACAAAATACATAAAAGCTTAGAGAAGGCAATAAATTTTTTCATATGACTAAATGTGCTTGATGATTTTGCTAGACAAAATGCTTAAAATTATTTTCCATGAAAAATAATTCTTACTCGCTTATCAAATTGCACAGCTCCCTGACTCAAGAACTAAATGCTTACTTCACTCATATTTGTGCTGATCAGAATGTTCGCCATTATTGATGTGTCTGTTGTTGTGGTTGCTTTTGTTGTTGCTGTTGTGTTTGCTTTTATTTGATTATTCGTTTTTGTTTACATTGCAAGGCCCGCACATGTACTCAACCCTTTTCGGCACTCTGGCCTAGACACAACAGGGCGTATGATTTCTTTGTTTTCTTTTTGGTAATATTTGAATATTTTCACTTGACATGTACAATTGGCACAAATTTGCGATTTCAAGTGCACGCCTAGAGGCAAAAAGGCCTCAGAGGTACTGGTGGCACAACTTCAGGCATCGGTCGGCATTGCCAAGTGGCGGCATTTCGTTGGTTTGGGCAATGACGCCACCAAAGAGATCACATCGAAAACTTGGCCCGCGTTGCACGTTTTTATAAATAGCGACAAACAAATTATATTTTTAAAGTGATCGCGCAACACACACGGACGCGGGCAGCGACAGTTTGGCTCGCAAGTGGACAAGTGGACAACTGGCGAAGTGTCGCTAATACTGCTGCTGCTTCTGCTGCTGCTCGTGTATATACGTGTATGGTACAGTATGATCTATAAGTATTTAAAAACACTTTTCGCTCTATACAAACGCACCTTTGTGCTCGACTTGACTTTCTTTCTACGAGTAATACATATGTATATTCCCTGGAATTTGCGCCTTTCTCTGGCCTCTTTTATCACACACTTCAGATACCGACAGATCACAACATACTGCTGCTGCTGCGAATATAATTAATTTGATTAATTAATGATCGTAGAACAAAGGCCAATACACTCAGTGATTCACGAAACGATTCCCGAAACGCATAAATGACTTGGTTGTACAACCGACCAATACTATATGTTTGGATCCATCTCAATATACTCGAACATATTTTCGTACATATCTGTGTTTGTATCTATGCGTGAAGGTAGGAACGCAAATATTTGTCACACGCGCCCGTGCCGCACTTCGCAATATAATAAAAACGCACGATGGTGGAAAAATAAAGGAGGCGAGCGCACGGCCCAACTGACGAGCACGAACTGAACGAATCGTTCAGAGCGACCTGGCAGTGCCAACGCATTTCAGAAGCGCCACAAATGTGAGCGAGCAGCGTTATCTCCTGCGGCTCGGCACGGGCAGCCCTGGGGACTCGGGCTCTCAGCAGTCAGCCATTAGCTATTAGCCGTCAGACCGCCGTTGACCGCGAAAAACGCCGACATTTGGCGCAGGCGACAAACTTGAATTTAATTAAAAGCCAAAATATTTAGGTGTAGAGACAGCCACAAACACACATGGGTATTAATCCGCGCCTTTGTGTGCATAATGTGTGTACGTGTGTTTGTGAATATGTTGCCAACGCGAACAATGAATTATTGTAGCAACAACAACAATATTCAAGACAACAGTAACAACAACAGCGAAATAAATAAATAAGTTATGCCATTTTTCCTCTCTATTTCATCTATTTTTATGATTCTAGCAATTGTAAATGGCATTATGGGTCCGTCCTTATGTTTGTAATGCATGCGAGATAATGTTTGAAACTTATATTAATAATACAAAAGATACTAATGGAATCTCGGCCTATATTTCCATTTCTTCTAGCAACTAAAACCTATCTAGAATTTGATTTACGGAACCTCAAACACCTTGTGTTATGTCGTATATCCTGAACAGCAAGCATAGCGCTTTAAAATTGGTTTTAATAGCCCCAATATTTTTCAAATGTCATTTAACTACAATAAAATGAAGTTTTGCAGACTTTATAAAGAAAATGATATTTGTTTGTTGTTTTGTAACAAACTTACAGAATTTACAAGAAACTGAATCTTTTTGAATTGCAGTATTTATTATAAAAGTTATAATAAAGTTCAAGATATTTGATTTTAAGCCTGATCTCAAATAGTATGAAAAACGGATTGTCCTTATTATGCCGTTCATATATTTAAGATATCTAAGAGAACAAGCAATTCAGTAAGACAGCCAATTGTAGACATTTTTAAACACATTTCTCTGGAATAAACTACCTCATAGTAAATATTAATTACAGAATAATAAACAAAAAACATTATTTAATTGGTAATCAAAAATGATAAAGATAGGGGAAAACATCTATGTAGTTACATACTTTGGCTATACTGGTCCACGCAATTAATCAGAACATGAACTGATACGGGTACTTAATATTTTTAAAAAGTTTGCAGTTTACAACGATTCTTAAATACTAGCAATTATTACAAACATAATCCATATTATTTTAATTTGGTTTCTTAACACTTCTAGTAGCAAATGTGTAATGAATTGTTTTTGGAAAATTATTAGAAAAATTAAAATTAAATTTATTGGCGCTGTTGATGATTTGCTAAACATTTTATTGACTAATACATTATTCTTATGTATAGTTAACTAAATTAAAATTGGCTGTGCGTGAATGAATTTTTCCATTTACAATGAAATACTCGTATGGGCAAGATCTCAGATCATCCAAAACGTACAAATAGTCTTGCTTGGGGTAACGGGTAAAAGAGTGTAAAATCTTCGCAGCGCTAGTTACAAGACTTTCCATTTGGTTTTTGTATTCCTTCTTTCTTGGCTGCGTGCCCCGCTCATGTAGTGTGGGACCAGTACGGCATATGCCCGGGGCTATAACTTTTTGCCCCACTAACGTCTTTTAGTCACGCGATGTGTGCCACTAGCTGCCATTTCATAATTTACGCGCTTTGTTTGCTATTTCCTGAGTGGGTGGCCAACTTGACGGCAGGACAAAAGGAAGAATTGGCGTAATTAGTGCTGCGAACAAGTTTCCCTACTGTCATAATAATTGCTCATAATCAGCATTGTGAACATCTTCATCATCGTCGACAGCAATACCAGAAGCGAATCACAATCTTCAGTAAGACGTTCATTTTATTTATAGTTTGTTTTTCCACTTGATTGAATTTTCCCAATTACAAAGTTTATATTTAATTTATTTCGTTGCCTTTCTTTTTCAGCTATTTTTAACCTCTTAGAAGCCTTGAAATGGTGAAATGGTTAGCGCTCAAGGGACCGCCACTGCTGTGAAAACACATGACGTATACGTAATGTAATTTTTATGAAAATTAATGTGTGCTTCTCATTCAGGCAATAGAAAAATACTTTTGACAGTTTACAAAAATCTAATTTAAATATGCTGTCGAATGTTTCTGATGCTATGCTAATGAAATGTTTCATTTTCCAATATTTTATGAACCGTCCATAATTATTATTTATTAAAGGACAACTGTGTGTGAGCAATAAGTCTTCAACAAGAAAGCAATAAATAAAAACCTAAGCATGTATAAAAAAGTTCTATCGTATTTGTAACTAGGTGCATTTTAAAGATGAAACTTATAGAAAAAAATGTAGGTAAATTACTCCTAAAGAATTATTGTTAAATTATTGAATTCAAATTTAGATTTTTTTTTACATTTTTTATTGTTTGATATTTTACGATAAAAATGTTAAAGTTCTAAGCAAAACTCAAAACTTGCCACATAAAGCCACAAAACAAGTAAAATAAAATATATACCAATACTTTGCGGAGATAACGTTTGAATTCACAATTTTATTTAATTTCTACACCCTATCAAAATTGTCATATCATAAAATAACAATAATTACATACATTTCATTTACCTACTTTTAACTAGCAATTTGTTGACAAATTGAGAAATACTACATCCATTTAAATAAGGAATTAAATCTTAGGGTATGTCTTGACTAGCTGTGTGACCTTCCACCGCTTGAAACACTTTCAACTTATTAGAAATGAACCACTTCATGGTTGATGTGCTGAGTTCACAACGAACTGCACTGACCTTGTCATAAGTGCCAAGAATTCGTGGAAGTGCAGCTGCAACCATTCAATTTGTAAATATTTATGCCGCAGAACTATTGTGCCGCTAGTTTTCCCACAAATGCCAAATGTGTTTTTACGATGGTGCTTTGATTGAATTATTTATGAACTTTGGCTTTGGCTGCAGCGGCCTATTTAGAACTTTAATTTAAACTTAAATAGGCTTAGCGGCAGTGGGTCCGATGTCAGATAGCGAACGATATAAATTATGTCCCAAGACTGAACTAAGCTGTGAATGCGAGTCGTCGCGGGCCAAATGCTAACTGCAAATTTCATTGCGACGTGCTGCAATCGAAAATGTTTCTTCCAGTCACGCGCTGACTCAGACATTTGAATGGGGGAGTACACCAACTTGATAATAATAATTCACATTGTGAAATATTGATTTTGGTTAAGAAAACGGGCCAGCGGGACAGCGAACCAACGAACCAGCAGACCAGTGAAGGGGCGCCAAAGATAACTTGACGCATGTCCGTCAAATTGTTAATGCCAGGGTGGGGGCGGAGGTGGGCGTGTCGTCAAGACAAAAAACAAAAAGACATCAACTGACACATGGCTGGGGCATATTGCGAGCGCTTCTGACAAATACCCTTCGACTTTTTGAGCAATTTATGGGTCGCGCTCTCACTTAGCCGACAACGTTGTCGTTGTTGCTGCTCTGATTGTGGCTACTGATTGCTGGCAGCTACACGGCCTACTCAATGCCAAATGGCTTATGTGGCGAACTTGCCTGCGACCACCTGGTACTGCCGCTGGTTCTCGGTCTTCACCCGCCAATTGCCAATACAGGGAATTGAACGCAACTGTCTACGGTTTGTGCCACATTCGTGCAAAGGTCGCACGAGTCGTTCTGCGCTCTGCGAATTGTCAACACGTACTACATATACTATATACGAGTACGCATAAAACTTCTTGTGGCATAGCGTTAATGATGATGACCTTCTGTGATGGATTGATTGCTTGTCTGATTGATGGAGGCACGCTCGCGGGTGCCACTGGCCTACTATGTGATTTGCTGTTTTGGGCGCTTTATTCGTACCTTTGGCGAGATGGGCGGATAAAAAGGAGGCAATTCATGACAGTTTGGACACCAGTTCTCCATATTTGCTGTTTTCCAATTATAGCCAATTTAGCAGCCGCTAATGTCGTCGTCATATTCGCATCTTCAAAACATGTTTTTGTCGTCGTGTAAATGCAAAGAGTTCGCTGTTAAATCGAGCCTTTACAACTGCACTCGAAGTACATATGTATATTTATCATATAAGTGGTATACTATATATACATATGTAAAGTGTGATTCGTTGCGATTGCGCCTGGTAAGAATATGACTTATGAACTGAACAAGTTAGCTTTATTACAGAGCTTAATTGGATTATTTAATTCGCACATTTTGAAATAGGTTTTCCGATTGGAAAAGCTCTACTGAATATATTTACCTTACTCATTCGACATTAAAGTGTGGGAAATATTTATTTAAAAGTTGTTCGACAGTAGGACGATAATAATAATTCGATTATTTTTACACGATCAATATTAAAATATAATCCAATCCTTTTAGATTAATTGAAATTAAAATTAGAATATATTTTTAAATGAAACACATATTCATCCTAAATTAGTAATAGAAAGATCTCACAAATAATCGGATATTGTTAAAAAAAAACGAATTAAAATTTCGAATTCATGCTACTAATAATTCTCTGTCCTATGCAGATCATGAGCCCCAGTCACAAATGCTTTTTGATAATCGCAATCACAGTCCTCACTCATAGGAATGGTCTATTTTCCAAACTAATATATTTATGCCTAGCATAGGACTTACCTAGTACAGGCTAAACCACCGAGGCAGGGCTCCAGGGCTGCCAACATTCACACTTTAAAATCGCACATCAATGTGTAGACGATTTTGGTTTGTCGGTTGGATTGTTTGTTTGCTGAATTTCGTATGTGTTGCCAAATGACAAAGACATAAACGTGTTTGGTTTTGGGCGTTCTACTTCTTCTTCGCTTTAAGCCACGTCTTAATTTAAGGTGTGTTTTTATTTTGTTACTTCATATTTGCATTTGTCTAGACTTGACTTGAGTTGCTTTTTGTTGTTATTGTTTTAAAATACCGTTATCAGCTTCATTGTGCGTTTGTTTGCAGTATTTATTAGTTTTAATTTTGATCGATTGTTTGCTTCATTTGAATTCACATGTATAGTATTTACTTTGTTCACCACTGCCTACGAACTTCTTACTTTCTTATTTCTTCGTTACTTTCTTAAGTTGCACGAGTTTTGTTTAACATAGAAAAGATAATGCAATATTAAATGGATAATTTTATCGATTTATATGCCACAGTCATTGGCTTCGATTCGACTTGATTGATTTATTATTTGTTTTTATATTAGTTGCAGCGAGTTTTCTAGATTAAGAGCTAGTTTATTTTTTATTGTGCCACGAATTGCCACTTTACATATTTGTACGGCCATTAACATTTTCAGTGCCGAATATTTTTGATGTCTCGCTGAGCGACATGCATTCATTACCCTTTTCCTATACAAATTTCGCTAACGGAATTCGCGTTGTTTCCTATTTCCCTTCGACAATGAGTGACAGTAACAACTGCAGTAGCAGCAGCAGCAAAAACAAGACCAGCAAGTAAATAAATAAATAAAGACGCGAAACAAACTTCAAAGCAAAAACAGCAGCTGAGTAAAATTCTTTTAGGACTCGCTCATTGCCCATGCTTTAGCTCTCTCTCTCTCTCTCTCTCTCTTCATCTCGCTCGGTTGCGAGTGTGAGCGCATGTGCCGTTATCACACTCCGAATGCGTCCCAGCGTTTAAATGTGTGAGCAAATGGGTGTGGGGGAGATGGGCTTGAAAGCTTTTTCTTCCATGTTGGAGTTGAACGATGAAATGTGTGCATATTAATCATACGTGGCGTATGCCCAGTCCAAGCATAGTCCACTATATTTAAACAATTTGTATGTCAAAATACACCACAATTAGTTAATGCACAACAATTGGAAATTAAGAATAACTTTTTATATTGGCGGCCAACGAGCAGATGAGTGGGCGTGCGGCCAGCTAGCAAGCAGGCGAGTGAGACGTGGGACTTGTGCAAGGCAATGAACGCTTCCAAGAGCAATGCTGCTGCGGTAGCCTGCTGTTGAAACGGAAACACACTGCCCTAGTTTTCAGTTTGCCTTCGTGGTGCACTCACACTCACTCATACAAACACATACTGATACACACAAATCTATGAGCACACACTGATATATGAATTCACGCTGAGCATTGAGCTCGCTGCCAGGCAATCAGTTACTTTTCTGCTTCTTCTCGCTGGTTTAGTCTAAGCTCCCAACAAGTCGTTGTTGCATTCTCATAATTAATAGGCAGGCGAAGCAATTGTACAAGATAAGGAGCTGTGCCTTAGTGCGTGTCCAATGTTGCGTATGTGTGAGTGTCCAGCGTTGCCATTGTGGGTCAAATTGTAAACATACTGCATGGCATGTCCTGCTCCTTGTGAGCGCGCGCATTGAACTCGCTTGGAATTGGGTTTAATTCCTTTGTAGGTATCTACTCCCTAGCACGCACTGACACACATACACAAACACACAATCGGGCAATGACTGACACACTTATACAGAGAAGCGGACACGACCACGACCACGACGACGACGACGAAGGCGACGCGCCGAGTGGGAAACAACAAAAATAACATTGGCGATGACAACGAAGGAATTGCGTTGGCACGTATGGGACGGGGTCGGAGGTGGAGGCGGGAGGGCTGCACGACGATACAAGTGTATCTCCTGCCCATCGACTTTATCATCGTGTCCTTTCGCTTGCGTGGTCGTTGTCGTCGCTGTCGTCGTTAGAAACTTGTGTGCTCGTTTTGTGCGTTTCAATGTACATGCATACATACACACATACATGCATGTGTACATACGTGTACATAAACATGAATTCGAGTAAGTATGTATATAAATATGTGCTTAAAATGAATGTTGAGTGTGTGTCTGTTAAATTGAAAAGAAGCGGTGGCAAGGAAATTTTATTATTTCAATGGAAAACCACCAAATTTTTCCTACATTAATTGCGCTTCAAATTTTTAATATTTGTTCTGTACTAGTGCTTTAGGGCACACACACACATATACACACTCACAGACGCACCTTTAGAAGGGCCACACACGCACGCCTACCAGCACGCACATCTCAGCTTGCTATTTTAATTGAATTTCCTGTATATGTGTGTCGCACAAACACTTTTTCTTCATTCACACAAACAATTTTCAATGGATACCGATTTTTTCATCACTAGCTCGCAACATTTTTGCATAATATCATTATGTATTGTTACACATTTTGGTATAGGCGTATTTTTATCATCGCTTCGAGCCTTTTTTAATTTCGCATACGCAGTTTTAAAAATTTTCACTTTCTTGTTTGTGGCACAGTGTGCATTTGTGTGAGTGTGTGTGTATATGTACAATAGCCATTTTTCTTTACTTTTCACACAAGCACTCGACGCGCACAGACCAACCAACCAACCTTACTTGTCAGCAGCGTATACAGTTCTGCCAAAACTGGACTCGGGAAATTCGAGCGTCGTCTTTCTGACAGCTATGCAGCTAAGCTTAATGTAGAGCTTTTCGGAGTGCCGAGCCTGTTGACGGAGGATGTGGGGCGTCTGGTACCCCCATTGTATGTGAAAGTGGCGCCAAAATTAATTGCAAATGTAACTTGCGCACATGGCGTATGTGTTATTTTCTGAGCCAAGTCTTGCAGAAGCGCTGTAAGCTTTTTGGCGGTTCATAAAAGGGGGATAATACAATTTTGTGCATCTGCTTAATAGAAAAATATACATGAATATTTTAATACTAACTGTCTTTATTAAATTTTACTTTTTTTAGTTAGCCAAACAAGATATTGAAGCCGAACTTGTTTTTTTAAAGTAGTGGCAACACCGTGCGTGAGCACCACTTTAAAATTTCATTCACTGCGACAAAGACTTCAATAGATTCGTTACACTGACAAACAAACATGACATTCCCGCCCTCTAGACTGTTGTATTTTGAATTCTATTTTGGGGAGTCCAACATCAGAACAGAACAGAAAAATATAAATATCTTTATTTGATTTTCCATTATATAAAAAGGAGTGTTCAAATATAAACTAAGAGCTAAATCATGTTTTCATTTCTTGATTCGTTTTAGGCAATAACGTTTTTTTTTTAGATTTTGGGTGTTTCAGGCTTAGATTGTAAATATTCGTTTTCCCATCTTTCAGAAAATTTAAGATCGCTTGCGCATACATAATATGTTCTTATTTTCCGATTGTACGCATGTACATACATACATATGTATACATGTTAGCCACCGCAAATCAATTGTTAAATAAATTGAAACCTTATTCAACAATCAAAAGCTATGAATAATACCACTACATTTTATTCGTGAGCTGTGCTTTTCCAGTACTCGTTACAAACGAAATAGACAGAAATAATCATCTCTAGGAAACTTATATGTTTTGACAGCAATTTGTGAATCGCCGGGTCCGTTGCCCTGGTCTGTTCCTGCTCTAGGAACGTTTCACTGCCGCAGGACAACTGCAAGATATGGCCTCCCTGTCAACGGCCGTGCTCGGTGGCGGCATCAGCGGTCTCTCGGCCGGCTACTACCTGTTGCGCCAGTTTGGAAAACCTCTCACAATTTATGAATCCTCGCCTAGGGTTGGTGGATGGATACGTACTGAAAAGCACAGGGACCGAAGCTTCATATTTGAAAGTGGTCCGCGTACGATACGTCCGAAAGGATTGGCAGGTGCCAATACGCTGGAGCTTGTGGAGCAACTGAAAGTGCCTATAAAGCCAATACTTTCGTCACATGTGGCGGCCCGCAATCGCATGATTTATGCCAAAGGAGAGTTGTGCATGCTGCCGAACAGCCCCAAGGGCCTATTCAGCACACTGCCGCCGTTTACCCAGCCCCTGTACAAGGCACTGTGGCATGATCTGATCACGGGCAGCACCCCCGCCAAGCACGACGACGAGTCCATCTACAGTTTTGCGGAACGAAGGTTTGGTAAGGAGATTGCCGATTATGCCATTAGCCCAATGATATGCGGCATTTGTGCAGGCGATGCTCGAGAGATCAGCGTCCGCTTCCTGATGGAGAGTCTGTTTGAAAAGGAGCAGAAATACGGTGGTGTATTGAAAGGAGTTCTCTACTCCCGCTTCTCGGGCGGTGCGAAAAAGGATAGCGCTGGGCTCTTTGCCCAATCCCAGCCTGCACTCTACAGCCAAGCCTGCCAAGAAAAATGGGCCATGTACGGCGTGGAGGATGGCTTGGAGCAGCTGCCTCGAGCCTTGCGCAAATATCTCGGTGAGCATGATGTAAACGTGCAGCTGAGTACGGAATGCCGCAGTCTGAGCTTCAACAACAATGGCGTACGTCTTCAATTACGCGATGCAGAGGTTCCGGTGGAGCACGTTGTGAGCTCACTGCCAGCTTACAAGATGGCGCAGCTGGTTAAGACTCAGCACCCCTCATTGGCGGCGCAACTGCAAGCCATACCCTATGTAGACGTCGTTGTGGTCAATATGCAATACGACAGCGATGAGCTGCTACAACGAGAGGGGTTTGGCTTACTGGTGCCACCGGTGGAAAAACTGCCACTGCTGGGCATTATATTTGACAGTTGCTGCTTTGAAATGGCAGGCAATACAGTGCTCACGGTTATGATGGGAGGACATTGGTTCAATCAATGGTTCGGAAACCGGCCAACCCAGAAGCAACTTCTCGATATCGCAGTGGAGTACGTTCGCAAAATTTTGGACATCAAGGAGGCACCGAAGTTCAGCCGCGTCCACACACTGCATCAGTGTATCCCTCAGTATACGGTGGGCCACAAGCAGCGCGTCGAGGGAATTCGGCGCTACATAAAGACCTACAAGCTGCCTTTATCAGTTTGTGGCGCTGCCTACGATGGTGTGGGTATCAACGACGTGATTTTGTCTGCGCGTCGGCAGGTTGAGGCATTGCAACCAGTAAGCACCGCCTAAACGTGGCATCTATTTCCGAACTTAAATTGTTAGCTCGACTTTTACATTTCCCTCTCTGTCGTGTATATTTGTTGATTTCATAGTAGTATTCCATTTGTAAATATAAATTGGTTCAATCCTAATTTTTACGCTAATAGCAATATCATTTATTTGCCAAACCCGCCCAAACAAGGCGGACTCTTCTCCGGCTCCTGCTCGGGCTCCCACTGCTTCGGCGTCTTAGCTTCAATGGAGAGCGCGTGCATAAACTCAAAGCCAGCCTCCTGCAACGCGTTCTTTATAGTGTCGTTCACCAGACGGTGACGCTAAATAATAAAAAAGTTGAATTAAAGGCAATGCAGATAAAGAGCAGACTCCCCACCTTGATTAAGGTCAGATCGTCGAATTTGGCCGACACTACAAACACACGAAAATGAGACTCAGCCTGTCTAGTATTGTGCAGTGGCGACTCATTGATAACCTCTAAGTAGACCGGCTGCAGCTTGGTGTCCAGAGCTTTGCGCATGGCTGATTCAATTGGCGGATATTGAGGAGTTTGCGACATGGCTGCCAATTGATATAAGTTTCCAAATGTGTTACCGGAGACTAATAGTTGATTTAGTTTTTGTGAGGGAACTCCAACAAATCGACGGAAAGTTAAGCCGAACATATTTTAAGTTGACTAAACAGCTGATAGAAATTACATAAACAAAAACACGACGCACAGGGTGACACTTGAACTCGAACCTGTCAAATTTCAGTTCTTTAAACTGGTTCGAGCTACTTATGTGGCGCGTATAAGAGATATCCATGTGGGCCTGAACATGAAATGTTGCACCGATGAATCGCGATAAGTTAAATATTATGCTCGAAATCAAAACACGGTAGTTTGTAATAACTTATATGAAGTAAAAAAATTTAAAAAATATGTCAATTTCAGTAAAATCTCGAAAAAGACAACCTAAATGTTCCCAGAATAACTAATTTATTTTATTTATTTATTTATTTTAATTTATTTATTAACTTACATATCTAAACGGTTTTTCAACATGAAAATACAATAATAAACATACATTTTCAGAAATAAGACGCATAATTTATTTGAATGGCTTAGTATTCAGCATAAAATTTAGTTTTTTTTTACTTATTTACAAATAGTATGAAATGTACATACATATATGTATATGTATGTATAGAAACATGCATTAACAAATTTCACTTTAATTTCCTGTATTGTTTTTTTTTTTTAATTTATTAGGGAAACAAAGGGAGAATCGGATTTTGAAATAAACTACGAAACTGTCAAACCCACCCTGCAAATAAAGAGAGCCTTTCTTGTCCAAATCTCCAACTCCTCCAGAAAATGTACGCGCGGCATTTGTTGATGAAAATATAATGAGCCTTTTTGGCAAGAAGAGAGAAAATTCTCCGATACGTTTTTTCAAAAAGTCGGCTATAAGTTTTGAGCATATGCTCAAATGCAATAAACAAGCTTCTGCCACCCAACAAAATTGTCGAAGGTTTTTTTACTTTTAAAGCCCTAGGAAGGTCAAGTTTTTTCATTTTTTTTCTGATTCAGCCCTTACTCCACCGCTATTTGTGATTTTCCATAACTCCTGTAATTCTTGGAATTTGGATAGTTAATTAAAAATTCCATTTATTTAAATTAAATATTTAAAAATTATTATCATTTTCACGAGCACACTGAAATAGGACTTGCTTGACAGTATGAAACATTTATTTGGACCGTTGCGTGAAATAAAGTATTCGACATCGTCGCTTTCATCGGATGCTTCTAATTCAAGTAAGCTATCCTATTATGATTTTGTGTTTTGTTTTTATGTACATATGTATGTCATTATATACATACATATGTATAGTTATATCCTTATCGAAGCTATGATGTTTTAAAACGACATAGCTTCGCGCGGACATAAGTCGTTTTTAGTTCGACGGAGATATGTCGCTATGCCCTATGAATTGCTTGGATATATCTATATAAATGAAAACATATCTGGCGTCTGAAAAAAGTGCACAAGCAGCGGATTAAGGATCTGTAATTGAAGGCTTGCAATGCTGGGTAAGATAATTTGATTTTACAGATGTGTTGTCATACTTAGTTCCGTGCGCTCAGATTCGTCACAAGGTGTTAGAGGTCCGTGTTGAATCGAGGTATGCAGCTATAACTAATCTATCGCTTGTCTCGAGGATATGAAAGCCGAAAACAATTTTGTTACCAAGTGCTTACCTAAATAACTTTATTCAGGACAATAGAATAACAATAAACGTTGGATCATACAATACAAAATCGTACTGCCTAAAACAATTGAAAATTTGTTATGTTGATTTAGAAAATCAATAGTCAACTAGTTTTTTAAGTTTGGGCGGTGCGGAAATGACAACGCGGCCACGATTTCCGCTGCTGGCGGTGCCGCTGCCATGTCTATGCTCCTCAACGCGATCCCTTCGATCTCCACGACCATGCTGTCGATACCGCTCTCGATCTCGATCCCTCTCCCGTTCGCGTTCCCGTTCCCTCTCACGATTCCGCTCCATGCTACGTTCTCTATCACGATTTCTGTCCATGCTGCGCCGACGCCGACTCCTAGATCGTCTGCGATCCCTACTGACACTGCGGCGACTGCGTGAGCGCCTCTTCCGCTCCATGCGACTACTGCTACGTCGGCTGCGCGAACATGAACGTTGTCGGCGATCCCGACTTGTGCTCCGGCGTCTACGGATACCCCGACTGTTGCTGCGGCGGAACTGACGATGCGATGCCGACTGAGCCTCCGGTGGGCTTCGTTTTCGACTAGGACTGCGGTAGCTATTCGATCGACTACGCCGGGGAGGCTTAACTAGCTTGCTTTGCGATTCTGACTCCACTGACTCGGCCTCACTGTCTGTTATTTTTCCACTTGATGGTGTACCGTACTTGTGCCGCAGTTCTCGTCGCCTGTAAATGAAGAGATGTGAGAGGGCTTCCCAAGAGCCACCCACACCTATTCACTCACCTTCGCCGTAGCTTCAGCGCTAGCTCCCGCATCTCATCCTCGCGCACTTGCTGCTGCTGGCGCTCCCTCTCGGTTTTCTCAATTTCTGCACGCTTATCGGCTTTATCTGCAAAACAAAAAGAGATGTATCAGGTACAATCCGTGCAGCTTCAATTTTTGTACTCTTGGTTAACTTCACACTACACTTTGCGGCTTACATTGCCTATTAAGTAAGTTCTGCATCTTGCGTTTAAGCCGCTCGCGCAGATTGGGACGTCCACCTCCGCCTGTCGCACTCGATCCTTGTCCACAGCCCTGTAAAAGCCATCAATGAACGTTTAGCAGTGTTTAGCGTTCTTTGTTTTCGGTCAAACTAGTAACGTCAAAAAGGTCGCCTAAACCTAAAATCACTTCACCAAAAAAAAAACAAGTACTACGTCCGAATGGTAAATTCTAATTATTTTTCTCCCTTTTTTGTGTAAATAATCCTAGCCCAACTATTATGAACACATTAAAGAGTTTAGCTATAATTGAACAAATAATATTCCGCCGGACTGACGAGTAATCATTATGAAACTGATATTAAATGTAGTAAAGGAATGTGAGGAGGAATGTAGCTCCAACGAACTCCCCGCTTCAAATTTTCCTCTATCACACGTTTATAAATAAATCTGTGTTCTCAAAAGTTAGTCAATAACATGTTGTTTTTTTGTCAAGATCACCAAACCAATGAAGGTTAAAGCAAAGTTTCAAAATACAGATTTTTCTATTTTGTAGGAAAATTAGACAAAAAAATAACGGTCTGATTTGGGCAGGCTATCGGATAATTGTGTTAAAATGTAAATACACATAGGTATAAGTTGATACGTAGGGCTCTTATTTCAAAAGTCGGGAACTAATTGGTGTTATTTAATTTACGTGCAATGAATAAGATTTATCGAAAAACCCGTACTGATCGGTTTTGTCAGTCGTTCATGTCGTAATAGTGAGCTTCGGATAATCGTATGTTTCTCATTGATATGGATTTTGGAGGTAGAGACGTGAAATTTTGTGTTGTACTCCGGTTTTGTGAGGCAATAAGACACTTGGCTTTGCTTACTGACTTTGGTTTCGGTAGCAGAACTATATTTGCCTGTTTGATTACCAGTGCTGGTGGATGACGACATTGATGGCTGCAGCGGATGTGAGCATTCCGAGCTGAAACAGAGAAGATAATCCCGATAGAGAAAAGTCTACAGTTCCATGACGATTGATTCTGCTACTCATATTTGGCTGCTCAACTTTACCACTTGAGTGCGCCCAAACTTACGCAGTGTCCACATCAGGCTCCTCCGAATCGTCCCGTTCCGCACGGTTGCGCTGCAATTTGGTCGGATCGGTCTCAGCATCACTGGCGCCGCTGCTCTCCGTTGAGGACGAGGATGTGTCGTCGCGCTTCCGTCCATAGTAGCGTTTCAAGGGCGGCGGCGGTGGCTCCACTACCTGCTGCAAGGCAGCCGCAGGGATTGGGGCTGCAGCTGAAATTGCGGTGCTTAAGGTCATGGTTCGCGTAGGCAACGGGTAGCTGATCATAGGTGGTGTTGGGGCTACCGCCTGACTAATAACTGGCTTTTGTTGTGGCATAAGTTTTGTCGGCACGTGAGCAGGCGCTGTTATAGTTGTGGTCGTGGTTGTGGTGCTCATGCAGAATGTTTTAGTTACTGTAGGCGGTGACCTTTTCTTTGCTAACGGCCGATCTCGTCGTGCAGGAGACGGAGAACGTGAGATTGTGCTGGTACGCGTACGCCTTCTGTGAGACATCTCATAAGAACTTGTACTGGAGCTCCGCGAAGAAGAAGTATAGCGCTTACGAGATCGTTTGTAGCTGGGACTGCGTGAGGCATAACGGTTTCTAGAGCTAGAACGAGAGCGGGAGTAACGATATCTGCGTCGGCGCCTGGAGTGACTACGCGAGCGATGATAGCTACGACGCCTGCTTCGCTTGCGACTACGACTGCGGCTGCGTGACTGAGAACGACGGCGTCCCGTGCGTTTGGCCGTCTCATTCATGATTTTCAATTTATCGAGATTGTCCTTCACCTTTTGTGCATAAGTGACATGTCCAGAAGCGGCAGCTCCACTACTGGCACTAATGCACGACTCTCCCAGAGTTTGCCCAGGCTTAGCGATGTTAATGGTAATTTTTGAGTGAGGCTGCATCTCATCTTCGCCGCCAAATGAGGTTATATAGGTTATTTTCTCACCGCCACCATCAGCCGGAGATGGCGATCGCGAATCGCTTTCTTCGTCCTTGTCGTGTTTTCCTTTCTCTTCCTTAGCCGCGTAGCTGGGCGGACTAAAAGGTCGATTAGCAATTCTTCGTTCTTTTTGCGCACGACGCTCACGGCGTGACTTACGACCACTGAGTAACATTTTTTCTTGCTCCTCTTCGCGAGCGATGCGCAAGGATTCGATTTCGTCTGCATCACGCGTCAAATGGCTGAAGAAATCGTTGCCCTTCATCCCATAGTTGCGGCCACATGCATTAAGTTCATGCGCCTGGGCAGTCTCTAGTTTGGCTATATCGATGGAAACGTCCATATCAATGTCCGAATCGTCCGATTCGTCGGAGCCTTCCTTTTCGGTTTTGACAGCCACGCCAGAGCTGGCAGTGCTTGGGGGCTGTGATGCCACGTTCATCAAATGGCCGAAAGGCTGCGGGCCTATGGCGCTACTTGACTCGCCTGCATCTTCATAGGAGTAGCCGATAGTGGCTCCGCCAGTCTTTTGTTTCTTCCTGCCCTGATTACGTTCAGCCTCCAGCTGGGCGTTGGCGCCAAACTGTTCTTCCAAGTAAAGCTGGTGCAAAAACTTGTCCTCGTTGACGTTGAGAAAATCGTTTTGGGCCAAGATGCGATAGCGTTCGTAATTCAATTGACGCTCCTCTTGTGTGATATCGGCATCGGCATCTGTCCCGTCGTTAGCGCTGGGCTTCACAACGGGCGGTATATAGTCGAGATGGGCACGCACATCAAAGCGATCAATAAGATTGTCCTGCTGCCCTTGCCACGGTACACTGTAGAAAAGTGAAAAGGACATTTAGCTTAAGCTCCCGCACGAAATTTTGTCAATATGGGGTATAAAACTTAGGCTCAATATATCACTTGCATGATGGCGGCTCCGTCGCCGGCGGCAGCAACGGCTGGGTCCAAATGTATTTTACAACGCCTACAAATATACACAGAATATGGTTATTCTACTATTATAAATGTACATACATATATACATTTGTACGTATAATATTAGAAGTAGGTCTGTAATTTGATACTTGCCTGCCGTGAACTTGTATAAATTGTGTGGGATCGGCTTGCTGGAATGGAAACAAATTTATTTATTTGCACTTGCAACCTTATGTATATTCGAAGAGCGACTCATACACTGGGTGCATCCACCACACTCACAATTTTTGCATAAAAGTCTTGCCTTCTCTCGGCCCTTTTACGGTAATCAATGCGAATGAGGCCTCGGATGAGACGCTCTTGCTTGCGCGCCTCGTGCCACATCTTTGAGCGGTTTACAATCTACGTGCCAACTTTTTCCACGCACCGAAAAATGTTGCGGCCGGAAAAAATTAAACTCTGAAAGTATTAGTGTGACCGTCCACTTAAAATCCAAAAAATACTTGATTATTTCAGGAACTAGCTCAACGAACTGTCGGAGATACAGCGGCTCGTTTTTAAATACTATGCAGAAACGATCATATCTGCTTCAATTTAATTAAATATTACAATACAATAAGTATGAGAATATAATTTTCTAAGCGCGGACTTTGTGCCGGCTGCATTCTTTGCATAAGAATGGTAATGCCGTAAGGACAACGACCGAAATGCATTGCGCGTGCGCTGCAGTGGTGGGAAACAACAAAAGGATAATAAATAACAAAGAAAACTGGAATGAGCCACAACACAACAATTGTCGATTGTCTGTCGTCGACGCCGCCTTGTGGTATATATATGTATGTATCTTTGTAGATGCAACGTTTTCCGACATCGATTTGTCCTTAGAAATAGTGCAAAAACTAGAACTAGAACAAGAGCAACCAGTTTACAGATCCAGTTTAAGGACGAGGACGTCGTCTAATGTCTGCTAGACTATTTCGCAGCTATTTCGCAACAGAACAACGATACAATACTTCGGGCGACATTGAAGGCAACGATGATGATGAACTTTTGTATCCATATTCATGTAGCAATAAAGACAATCGCGATGAAATGGCGCACGTTAAACAGAAGACCAACGGTGAACCGGATATTGAGAAAGACGACGACGATTCAGAATCACTGCAAGATGTACCATTCTCATCGAGCAGCGTGGATCGCAGCTCCATTGGTTCTTCTATTCCATGGGCAGACGATGCCATCAAGAAGAATAAACTGGACTGGGATCGCGTAGAGCGTATGCTAAGCGGGGAGGAGGCGTTGCCAGAACAAGAACCGGACCTGCGTCATGAAATCGCCGACTGGCAACGCAAATTCCCATCGTTGGTTGGTCGAAAAGTGCAGCCTCTGAAGCAGCAGAGCTTCGACAGTAGCAGCAGCCACCACCAGCACAGAATGATAGATGATTCGGGAGACATCGACTCCATGTCTAATCTTAGCCTTAACTCGCTATCCGACGACAATGATGATGACGATGGTTTTTTAACACCCACGGCCGACCGTCAGTTGGGACAGATAAAATATCAGGACAGCCGGCAGCAATATTTACGATCGACACAGCCGCATACTCTGATGGACGTTTTAGACAAGGATTTGCGCATCACTTCAGTCAAGCTTCGCAGCCGCGAACGTACCAATCAACCACATCTGCAGACCCAATATCCACAGCAGCCACTCCACGATACACACTCGGCGACAGCGTCCCGCTCTCGATTGCGCATGCCTCCTATCCTCAACGTACTCGACTCGAATCGCCGTTTCCGCGGCCTCCTCAACAACCGCAGCTTTGTGCAACTGACGCAGGTGCAGCAGCAGCAACAGCTTCAGGCTAAGTCGGCAGCTCTCACGCACGCCAATAGCGCTGAACGGCAAGGAAATCGATCCGCTTGGCATATGCCTATGGCGGCCGCCTCCTTCAGCAGCCGTTTCTTCAACAACAAAAACGCCATTGTTCTCCCCTCGCTCAACAGACAGCGTAATTTTTCGATGGCTACCGCAACTACTAGTCAGAGCAATTCGAGCGGTGGTGGCGCTCATAACAGCCATAGTAACAGTTCCTCGCTGAATGGACGCCGTCCTATGGAGCGCCAACAGCAGTATCCTCATCAATTCTATCATCATCGCCAATTCAATGCGCCAACTAACTCGAGTAACACGCCATCGACGGGACGCTCTATATCGGCGGCAGTGCACCATCCGCGACCATCTGAGTACGTGAACAGTGCATTTTACATACCATATAGTGCCTCAAAATTCAAAGCCTTTAAGTAACCTCAACGTGCAAACAAAAAACAATAAAATGATTGAACTCAGTTCGTGGTTATTATTTCAAATGTGGGAAAATATATGTTGACATGGCTAAAGGCCCAGATTGTCCAAGCGTAGACGTCCGTCGTTTTCTGTGAGGTAGAGTGTGTCTGCTAGACATTGTTCCGTAATAAGCTCTTCCACGCGCTCGTTCATCTGCAAATTGAATGGAATTTAGTTTAAGGATCAATAAGGATCTCTCAAAGGAATTTGTGTCTTTACGCCTTTTACTCTGCGCTCAGTTAAAATTTCCGGGTATTTGAAAGCAGGACCAAAGTTTACGCTGACCGTGGCGCTCTTGTGTATAGAAATAGCCGGGTAATATCCGCCTTCATAGATGTCTTCAAATGCCACCCCTTGAGATTGTCCGTTTTTGAAAAATTCAATCTTACTGCCGTACAATGTGCGCAAATTTTTTAAAGTCTCTGTTATCTTATCTTTGTCTTCATAGTAGAGATGCGATTTGAATTTAACCAATGGCTGTAAATAATAAATCTTTAGATGATAGATGAAGTTTGGTGTTTATAATAAGAGCTTACACGATCCTTAAATGTGTTAGGCAGGTAGTTGATGTGCGGTTCTTCGGGCAGCTCAATAAGAAAGCCTAAAGTGTCACCCTCGACATAGGCGCTGCTATAGTGCTTACCATGGCTCTCGGTAAACTTTGTGCCCTTTCGCGAGCGCCAAGAATAGCCAAATTTATCATAGCCCAGCGGTGCCTGCAGATTACCATACTCGCGGCCCCAACCCAGGCGCGTGGCGGAGCCTTCGGGCATCTCCTCAATGGTGATCTCGTAATACCAGCGTCCGCGATTCACAGCTGGAATTAGTTGATTGTGAGACAATTTTCTATTGATCTACCACTAAATAATATGTACTCACAATGAGTGGCCCGCACCATGCAATATCCACGTTCCCCGGTCACCGCCAAACGGTCTTCTGAGATTTTTAACTGGGGTGCACGGTCATGTAAAGCAAGAAGCACTGCGTGCGGAACTAGTGTGCGATATAACCAGCCGGGAATAGGCTTACCCGCCCAATCTGAGCTCTCATCGAACTCCTGACGAAAAGGAGCATGAGGATCCGGCTCAGCGAGAATGTATCGATAGCCATCTTTGTTAAACGGATGCTCAAGGGGGTAACCATGAGGTGGCAACTTCACATTGGCTGTTACATCCGAACTGGGACGACCCTTTTTGCCAGTGGGGCCCGCGTCGGTTCCAGGAAATTTTCGCTTTTGCCGATTGTTCTTCGCAAGTGTGGCTGCATAAGAGGGGTCGAAATATTTGCGATTATGTGCGAAAGCGATATCAACTACGTGACTAACTGCTAGTAATGCACATAGATAGGTATGTGTGTGTGCGGTAGGCGTATACGGAACAATGGATGGTGCACTTACAGTCCTCCTCACTGGCATTAACATTAGCAGTCGCTATTGCGCCAAGCGTTGACGTTGACGTCATTGCAGGACAGGGCAGGCAACTCGAATTGATTCGCGTTCAAAATCAATTGCTTAACTCAAACCTAAGAGCAACCACAATCACCAGAACAAAACAAGCACACAAGGCACTAAAATAGCAAACGAAGCGGCGACTAAGTAATGCACACATGTACGAACAGACATACATACATACATATGTACATATGTGTAACTATTTATTATATTGTAATGAATGGCATCGCCAACAACTGCCCCACCTCGCGTCCAATGTGAACGATAAAGTTAATTCGCATGTGTGTATGTGTGGGTATGGCGCACACGACGACGAATCAGAAACTACGCGAAACGTAATTATGACGATCAACTTTCTTTCAATTGTTGCAATACAAAAATACAAGCAAAAACCAAGAGAGGAATACGAAAAAGAGAGCGCGGAAGAGTAGACGCTCTGCCTGCCTTGTTGCTATTTTTTTTTTCGAGAGCGCAGTCATATCAAACATGAACAAATATGCGGCTTCGAACAAAGTTGAAAAGGTAAAACATCTTGATTGTCGACAGCACTTGCACCACTGTGCGCCATCAGCTGTAACGAATCGCATGCAAAACAAACAACGCGACAAGCAAAGTGCCTATTGTTATCTCACCCTGCGTATAGCCGTCTTCAGTGATGCGCAAGGCGCCTGTTTTGCTCATGCTTTCGTAGTTGGGCTTTATGGCGCGCAGTTCCTGATTGAAGAGTCCATACATGGCGCCAAGCTCTGCATGCTCCTCGTAAGTGAACAGTGTATGCACATCTTTGACCAGAGAACGTTGTACCGTCGCGTACCAGGACTGTGTCAAGCGACGGGGCATTGTGGTCATGGCCTCCCAGTATTGCTCAATATAGGGTATAATTTCCTTGTCCTTGCTGAACTGTATCTGCTGCTTGCCCTCGCGTAGAGCAGCCTGTTGCATATTAGCAATTGCACAATGGCACATTTGGGCAATTGCTGTAATTTATGCAGACATTAAGATGTGTATTTTCTACTCTAAGCTGTTCCTACTTACTAGCCTGGCTCTTGCGGAAACTCTCGAGGCCGCTGGCCGAGCAATTCTTGCACACAAATACATAATTTGTCATAAACGGTACCAGCTTGCCCAGCTGATAACTGATGCAGGACTCGTGAAACCAGCGTGCACATGTCGCGCACAGGAGCTCCACAAGATTCAGATTACGCTCCTTCCCGCTGCAAAGTGACGAATGTAATTAAAATACTATGATCATTTGCATAATTGTGAATTTACCGTACCAATAACAAAAGCCGGCTGCAGTCGGCGCGCCGCCGCTGCTGACGCTACTGCCAACGCGTGGTTGCTTGCTGTCGTCCAGATTAAAGTTAAGTTCAGAGTTTGTCGTTGGGGAGTTGGTCTCCATTGGCTCGCTTTCATTCATAGCAATTTGGACAATTTATACCAAAGATTTTATTCAGAAAACATGTAAACAAATGTCCGCAAAAACGGACACACACACAATGATTTGCAGAAGCAGCGTTTTCGGAAGAAGAAGAGTTTGACAGGCCGCACTGCACGCAGTACAATAAGCATCAGTCTATCTTTGTCGTACACTTACGTACGTTTTATTTTAAAATTATTTAAAATCACAAAAGTTTTTAAATGGTTGATTTGCATTCGTTAACAATAATTAATTGCACAAAGTCATAAAAGAGTCAAAGCACACACACTCGAAATTGAACGCAACCCTAACGGGCAACCCTAGCGTGAACTGACAAAAAGGAAGAAGAAGCGCAGCAGCAGCAGTATAAGAAAGTAGAAAAATTTTTTGCAAAAACTTATTTACTAGAATTTAGAAGTGCTGTGAACAAATGCTGGATAGGTCCGTTTTGTAAATGTAGTGCAGAAGCGTTAGTGCATAAAACGCGTGTAATAAATGGAATTGCACGAGTGCTGTGATCGAGTGAACAGACCAAATAAAAGCGCACCAGCAAAACGACGACGAACGACAGCGGTGACAGCGACAGCAGTGGCAGCGGTAAGGCGGCTACGGCTACACGGACTTGAGGCGGCAGACGCTTAAGAATACCAACACTGGTGGTCGGGGGCGGTAGCGGCCCACAAACTAGAACAATGTGCGACGTTTGCGCCGATTTCCAAACTCTGTTAGAGCTGTGTAAGTAGCATTGAAGTTTGAAGTCGAAGTTGAAAGAAGTTCGCTCAATTGCACACAACACAATGTGGCGGCCACTACTTCATCTTCATTCTCCACCTTTGTTTCAGATGAAGCACGCGTGGCGAGCTCTGAGATCAAGTTTCAGCTACTTCTAAAGAGCGAAATCGAAACTACATTTAACTATATACAGTCGTGGCCACAGCGGCAATGCATGTGCTTGTATCGGGACACGAAAAACTATGATCGCTTCAATCTAGTGGTGCAGTCGCTAATTTGTCTGACAGTGCAGCATTTAAAGCACATCGATCATCTGATTGAAAGTTATAAGCGGCTGACAGCCAGTGCGGCACAGGTAGTTGCTCAAGCCCAGCAGCAGCGTCAGCAGTCAGATGAGAAGGATTCGCCAGCGGATAATGAGATAGACAGTGAGCAGACAGACCGCAAGGAATCTAATGAATCATCACCTTCTGTAGGTGCCGATGGTGGCGGCGATGAAAAGAACTCAGCGCCAGAAGCCAGTGAAGATGACAAACATGGTGCTGGTGATGGTCCGGTTTCAAAGCTGCCAGCTGCTGGTCCAAGCACACCTACTAAGGCGCACACACAATACACCGAGGAACCGTGGATATTGCCAGAAGTTGAAAAGCTGCTTGTGCTAGTCTCCAAAGTATTTCTGCTCAATTTTCCGCTCTATATTGCTCATAAGCATGGCATGCACTCGCGTTTGGATGATCTGCAGGCGGAGGAGGCCCACCATTTGGCCCTCATATGTGATTTACACGACAACGATCTTCCAATTTACCTGCTGCGCAATGTGAGCCTGTTCTGCAACTCGGGCGGCTTTGGCGCCATGTCATTGTGCTTTGAGCATCCCGATTTGCCTGTGTCTACGGCGCACTCGATGACCGCCACAGTATCGAACGTGAAGCTCTGGCTTAATTACCATTGTAACACGCAACTGTTTGTGCCACTGCGAAGTCGCATCTTACAGTATATGTGCAAGCTATCAGATCAGAATTTGCGTTCTGCGGCCACACGCGCTATGGCCGATTTTGTGTGGTCCTCTATGCGCGATCCGCTCGATGTGGCCGTTAATTTTGACACCGAAGGTCTGGCTCTGGCCTTTAAGTACTTTACTTCGACCACGCTGACGATGCGACTAGCAGGTGAGTGTCAGTTTATTCTTACTTAAATAAAATTTAACAACAATTGTTTCTTACCCTAGGCATGGCCCAAATCAACGCACACATCAATCTTTTTAATGAAATCTGCACCACAGAGACGGTCACTGAGGTTGAGCTGTTTGGCCAGCGTATTGCCAATTGGTTAACTGAGAATCATATTGTGCAGCATTTGTTCGGACCAAACTTACATGTTGAGATTGTGAAACAAGCACATGTATTGCTTAACTTTTTAGCTGTCGAAAATCAAATCTCTGAAGAGGACATCAAACTCATCTGGCAGGCCACACAGTTAAAGCATTGCTCCAAAACAATTTTTGATATTTTGCCTGCACTTGTCAAGAATTTAGCACCGCGCCCAGCTATGCATTTGTATTCGCTGCTTTGTCGCATGGATCCCAAGGAACACACTGAACAGAGTATCTACATCGCATCCGCGCTGACTAAGCTTATTTGGACGCGAGACTGCTCGCGTAGCCAAATGAATATAATGCAACATGAACACATGCTAGGCTCAAATGTAACAGCCTCCAGTTCGGACAGTGGAAGCATTGAGGGCAGCAACACGGAGGATGAGCATGTGGGTGCTGATGACAGTAGTATAGCGAGCGGTGGAGGTGGCAATGGTGGCTCTGGCGTGGGCGGCCACAAAAGCCCCAATGATGGAGTGCCGCCCTGCAAACAAGCCAGGCACAGGCGGCATATTTGTGACCCAACCACTGAGAAGGCAAAACAACTCAGCGAGGAAGATATGGCTAAAGTAGATATGAAGTAAGTGTTAAAGCTGCCTATGAGTTATTATCTATTAGACATCAGATTTAATATTTATTTAAGTGAAATGAATTAATTTATAAACAAATTTAAATTAATGTTTTTCAAAAAATATACATCCTTTTTTAAATGTGTAGATAGCAACCGTTCTTAAGATTGAATATAAGATGGCAATAAATTTCTTAAGTCGAATAAGTTAACCATCTACTGATTTATTACTTTACAGAATACAAAACCATCGAATTGTGAACATAATCGACAATACCAGCAGCGAGGAGGAATTGCAGTCGCGCGCAGCCCTCGAACTGCAGCTTCATCGCAAGAAAACCATCAAACGAAGGCGGCAGAAGAATAAGCAACTGATGCTACCACACGAGTTGGTCGAAATCTGGGATGGTGGCGAGGATGTGCCAAGCAGTGAGGATGGAGATGGCGAGATTCTCGCCGACAGCGATGAATGTAGCGATAGTGCCGGTCAGGTGGTTCCCGCCGCCGTTTTAAAGCATTTGCACGGAGAGGGTCCATATATACGCGCCATTGCTGAAACTAATATAAGCGAGTTGCTTAGCGGTGCCGAGAACGATGGAAGCTACAGCTACAGCTCACCCATGAGCAACAAATCGGAAAAGAATCTAGCCGACTTCGATGATGAGGATGTGTCCCCGTGCGAGGAAGAGCTGGCACAGCTGGTCAGTTCACATGCGGGTCGAGTTCATATGCCTCCTGCATTTGCAGCAGCTGCTGCTGCCATGGTGGCGGCTCAATCCGCCATGGCCATGCAAAAGTCTGGCGACACAAACGTAGCGGCTGCTGCCGCAGCCGTCTGTGCAGCCGCTGTCGCCACAGGTAATGCCCAGCAATCTCTAGTGGCAATGCGACAACAGGCCGTTGCTGCAGCTGCTGCTGCGAAATCGTCAGCATCGGCAAACTCATCGTCGCAACGTCCCTCGGACTCGGATGTCGATTTGCTTGATGTCAGCAAGGAACATTCGCCCAAGGAGTCCACATCTGCTTCCAGTACACCTGTGCAGCCCTCCTTTAAACTTAATGATGTTTGCCAGCCAGGTAACACATTGCTTTGGGATCTCCTGCAAGATGAAAAAATTGTAAGTTTATGATATTAAAAGAGTATCCTTGTACTTTCCATCCAAACCTTGTTTTCACTTTTTTGCATCCCTTATATGATTTAATTAACACACAACTACTTTATATGATCAACACGTTTTTTTTTTTTTTTTTCAAAAGTGTCAACTCGGCGAGTCTCTAGCACTGGAGGCTGAGAAAGCGCTAGCCACATTGCTGTGTTTCAGCATGGATCGTCAGCTACGGACCAAGTTCATCGAAGGGTGTCTGCAGAACGTTGCCAATAATCGGAGCGTAATTGTCAGCTTACGGTTGCTGCCTAAGCTGTTCGCCAGCTTTCAGCAATTTCGGCCATCGGACACACACGCAATGACACTGTGGGCAGAACGGAATCATCGCATGATGCATTGCTTTTTCAGCAATATTCGGCACTATGCACGTCGCCATGCTGAGATGCTGGTTAATCAAAATGGAGATCAACAGCAGCAGCAGCTAGGCTTGCAACTATACTCGCATAAGACGCAGGTGTCGGTCCGTCTACAATTTCTGTCTTCTATCTTCTCTACGGTTGGTTCTCCAAAAACTTTTCGCCTGACTGTGGAGCAGCTGGATGCCCTGTGGGAGTGGCTGGCGCATGATCCGGAGTGTGCAGATTGTTATTTTTCGTGGTTACAAGCGCAGGCAAAGGGCGGCGACCAACATGCTCTCGGCATGGATGCACTGCAGCATTTGTATCTCAAGAAGTTGCCGGAGCTACGACCTGAAGAGTTCTCTATGGTGGCGCTGGGCCTATTTCAGCAGCTGTGCAGCTTTGCACGCATTGCCATGGCTGAGTACGAGAAGCACAGCGAACCTATATCGACCAGCTCCAATGCTGTGGGAATGTATCATCTGTGGAAGATAGCCCTGCGGGCCCAGAGCAACGAAGTCTCTCTGGCGGCCATACAATATATCAACATGTACTATATGGGACAGCAGTTGCGTCTTGAAAAGGAGTTCGTGTCACAATGCATGGATAATTTAGTGCAGGCGGCCACAGCATTAGAGAGGTAAGTCAGCTTTTCCTTACAGCTTATAGGTTTTTTATACTCTGCACATAAAATGTACAAGAGTATATTAGGTTTGCGGGAGCTGAAAATGTAACAGGCAGAAGGAGGCGTGGCAGACCCCACAAAGTATACATATTCTTGATCAGGGTGACAAGCCGAGTCGATATAGCCATGTCCGTCCGTCCGTCTGTCCGTCCGTCTGTCCGTCCGTCTGTATGAGCACAAGGATCTCAGAAGGTACAAGAGCTAGAATTACCAAACTTGGCATCCAGGTTCCCCTAATCCCTAGGCAGGTCAAGTTTGTTTTTTTATTTTGATTGCTTCTAGTAAACAATTGTGATATTACCAAGGATAATGATGTTCTACATTTCACTTCATAGTTTAGTTTGTGTTTCATAGTCAACAAATACTCGAACTGAAATCCTGTTCAACAATATACATAGGCATGATTGTAGCTTATCCACTCGTCAATATGATAATTCTACATATTTTACTTCTACATTAAGTCAAAATGACCAATATAGTTCAATGTTCCCTTGAGATGAGCGCTATTTGCGACTTGTTTTTTTATATCCGCTAATCTTTTGGCTATATCGTTCTTCATTTTTAAACATGCGCTCATATATTAAGACCTCTACTTTTATTTATATTTAGCATTGAAGACGAGAATGCATTAATGCGCGTACAACGGGGACTTTTGCTCTTAAACACGCATTTGGATACATTCCGCCGCCGTTATGCATTTCACTTACGACGCTGGGCTATCGAGGGCAAAGGAATAGGATCGCACAGCAATCTAAAAAACGAAGGAGCGGGGCCGCCCGTACGCATCGTGCTGCAGCAGGCTGGTTTATCAGAGAAAAGTTTATTGCACATGCACGCATGCGATCTGATCGCCGATCTCAAAGCCGAGGTGTCCAAATGGTGGGAGAGTCTGCAATGTAATGCGAACTCAGGTATTGCGGCGCCAGTTTTGGGTCTGCTGCTAAGTGATGGCCCATTACGCATCATAACTCAAGGTCAAGAACTTACCTCTGACTATGATGAGCGCAGCCTAGGGGATGCAGGCTTCAAGGACAATCAGATTGTGTATGTGTCGCTGGGTGGGCGAAGCGCGCGCCGCAAAGAGACAAATCTGGAGCACCCATCAATGCAGCCCCCTCCGCCTAAAGAATGTTTGCCAACGGTTCTGCTGCTACAGCCGAAGTACTTCGAAAAGCTATTTTGTCTTATGCAGACTCTTGGCGATATGAAGCCGCTATCCAACAACATGCAACATCACACGAAAGCTCAGTTGCTCTCCCGTCGCGTGTGGGATATTCTGGCGATGCTGCCTACAAATCCGCTCATATTGGATGCATTTAAGAGTCTTGTTACCGATTTGAGCGATATTGAACAGCTAGGAAGTGAGGAGGAACAAGCCAATAAACGCAAGGAGATCAAGCAAAAGCTTAGCGACTTGCTCGATCCAAGCAATCTGCAAAAATTTATGTACTCGCTGCACATTGTCGAGAGTCTAGCAGTGAACAGTGTGCAACAGAGCAGACATGCCGCAGGCTCCTGTTGCGGGTCAGGCGCAAATGGCAGTCTGGTAATTACGGAGCAACACTCCCCGCGGGTACACAAGACGAGCAGTAGCAGTTCGTCCAAAAAAGGAGGTGGAAACAGTCGTCGTCGTAATAGCAATGAGCAACTGCTGCTGGCCAACCAGACCAGCAAGGAGACTCCGCGGAGTAGCAGCGCTGGCGGTGACTCCAGCAAGGAGCATAGCGATGCCTCACCCACCAAGGAGCCATCGCTAACGCCCACGCCAGCCCTCGATTCAAGTGATCCCAGCGAGGTTGGTAGTGGTGACAAAGAAAACCAGCCGTCGTCACAAAAACCGCCACACAGCAAGCGGCACAAGAAAAGTGACAGCGTAGAAAAGGAACGAGGACTGGCCAGCACACCTCCACCGCCGCCACCACCACCATCATCATCCTTGGCACCTCCGCCGTCTGCCACGCCCCCCGTGCTGCGCAGCGCGCTCAATGAAAGCAAGTGGAGTGAAGCGTTCATCAAGTGCGGCGGATTACGGCATTTATACGATATCTTCAGCAGCGGTCAGATGCAGCAGAGCGCCCACCCCAAGGAGGTACTTAACGAATGGCGTCATGATTGCTTGGCGAGCTTGTTGCGCATACTTTGGCTACTCGGCTTCGAGGAGCTTCAAACGGATGACATACATATGCTGATGGCGCGGCCTCATGCCTTCATGTTGGAACTAATGGATGTGGGTGTCTGTCTCCGTCGCCTCTCAACAATATTGAATGATGAGGTTTATCAGCATTTTGCTGCCACCTCCGTGGTGTTTCCTTACCAATTCCATCACTTACGGACTGGCTTCTGGGGACGAGCACAGGTAGTGCAGTTCACCATGAATATAATGGTGAGCTTTGTGCATGCCTCAGCGGAGGCCCGACGTCTGCTCTGGTCACAGCCAGAAAACTGCTGCTGGGTGCAAAAGTTCATCCTCGAAGATCCAGAACCGGCTGTTCGACGTGAGATCTGTGCAGGTCTCTATCGCATCTGTCTTGGGAACTCAACAAGCTACCAGGTTCTGCTGGCTCCGCTGCTCCACAAGCTCATATCATTTCTGCCCGTGGCCGAAAAGATGACCTCGACGGCACAGCACACGCAGTTCCTGTTGTCGGACGAGGGCAAGGAACCCTATGGGCCCGCCTGTCGCGATTATTTCTGGCTTCTGGCACGGCTCGTGGACACATTAACTCCAGAAATGGTCGCCGAAGAGGACATTGACATTGAGCTTTTGTGCGAGTCAGTCTCACAAAGTATCTTAACGCGTGACTATCATGAGCTGCGTCATGGCTATCAGGACGATGGTTTAGTGGGCCTGCTTAATCTCATGTCTAACCTGATCAAATATGATACCAGTTTCAAATACACCAACAAGGCGGTGCGCTTCATTGAGCAAATCATCGAATTCCTTTTCGAAATGCCTTCGCCTGCAAATCGTCAGAAGCCAAAGTGCAAGTCTGCGACGTCGCGTGCTGCAGCATATGATCTTCTTGTGGAACTCTCTCGCGGCTGTGCCACCAACTATAGATACCTCCATGGCAAGCTGTTGGCGCAACACAAATCGGGGCCCAAACCACCGTATCCCTGGGACTATTGGCCCCGTGACGAGGGTCGGTCCGAGTGCGGCTACGTTGGGCTGACGAATTTAGGTGCTACTTGTTACATGGCCTCGTGTATCCAGCATTTGTATATGATGCCACAAGCTCGTGCCGCAATTCTCCGCGTGCCACCTACGGGTGCACTGAAACATGCGCCGACGCTGCTGGAGCTTCAACGCATGTTCGCCTATTTGCTCGAGTCTGAGCGCAAGGCCTATAATCCACGCTCCTTTTGCCGTGTCTATCAGATGGATCATCAACCATTGAACACAGGCGAGCAGAAGGACATGGCCGAGTTTTTCATTGATCTCGTGTCGAAGCTAGAAGAGATGACTCCCGACTTAAAGCATTTGGTTAAGCGACTGTTCTGTGGCATCCTCAGTAATAACGTCGTTTCGCTGGACTGTGGACACGTCTCGCGAACTGCTGAGGAGTTTTACACAGTGCGGTGCCAGGTGGCAGACATGCGCAATCTACAAGAGTCCCTAGATGAGGTTACTGTGAAGGACACTCTCGAGGGCGACAACATGTACACATGTTCCCAGTGCGGAAAAAAAGTGCGCGCTGAGAAACGCGCTTGTTTTAAAAAGCTGCCGCAGATTCTGTGCTTTAACACAATGCGATATACTTTTAACATGGTCACAATGTTAAAGGAGAAAGTTAACACCCATTTCTCCTTTCCACTGCGGCTAAACATGTGTCATTATGTAGAAAAGACACTAATGCCACATCAGTACAAGGAGGATCGCGAGAAGCGCGAACTCGAGCGCAAGGAGAACGAGCAGTCTGGCGATGGCGGCGACGAGAACGAAAAGGCTGAAGCAACTTTAGATGAGGACATTGAGGAGTGTTTCGAGTAAGTAATTTTAATATATATATATATATATATTTTAATATAGCCTCACTATATATATTGTTTGTTTCTGCTGCTTTGTTGATATTTGTGTAAGACCACTATTTAAGATAATCATACTTATATTTACTCATGGCAGGTACGAGCTGGTAGGTGTTACTGTCCATACCGGCACTGCAGACGGGGGACACTACTATAGTTTCATAAAGGAACGTACGAAGTCCGGCTACCATCCGCATGAGCGCTGGTTTTTGTTCAACGATGCTGAAGTGAAGCCCTTTGATCCCTCGCAGATTGCAGCCGAGTGTTTTGGGGGTGAAATGACGGTGAGTAATATTTTAGGAAGAATCGACGAGCTGTGTCCGCTTAACGGTTCTTATTTTTACACAGAGCAAGACATACGACTCGGTTACAGAAAAGTATCTAGACTTTAGCTTTGAGAAGACCAACTCGGCATACATGCTTTTCTACGAGCGTCGCTTGCCGGAACATTTGCAGCGTCGACATTCAGAATTGTTGGTTACCCCCACACCAAGTCCCACCAATGAGGACAAGCTGGAGGCAGATGAAACGACAAAGGTAGAGGTGAGCACAAGCTCAAACAAAATGGTCGACAATGAGTCGGCGCTACCAGTGAAGGAGGAGGAAGCAACAGCCAATTGTGATAATTCTAAGCCCAAAGCCAACAGCGGGAGCGGAGGCAACGACCAGCATGCGTCGACCTCCAAGTGCGCCATTGCAGAGGCTAAATCTGCCTATAAACTACAACTTTTACGTCCATTATTAAACAAGGAGCTGGAGGATTGGATATGGCAGGACAATCGACAGTTTCTTCAAGACCGCAATATATTTGAGCACACATATTTCAAGTGAGTAGCTTCTAGATATTGAAACGTGTTGTCAGCAAAAACAACTATAAAACATTTCCTGTAGCTTCATGTGGCAAATATGCGGGCACATACCGCAAACGCTAATCTCGGAAACGGATGTTACCTGCATGGCTGCCAAGTTGTCCATGTCGTTCTTCATTGAGACTTTTATACATGCCAAGGAAAAGGTGAGTGATCATAACTCGAACCAACTAGCTTCTGTAATACAATTAAGATATATCACATTAATGATGGCTGCGAATTATATTTATAACTGACACATATTTTATTTTCATGCAATTAATAAACAAATACTTTACATAACAATTTAAAAATATATTGCTTTCCCAATATTAGAATAATAAATCAACTTCTTGAAATTATTTTCATTCTTTATCAGCCCACAATGGTTCCCTGGGTGGAGCTTTTGACAAAACAATTTAATGCCAGTCAGGAAGCGTGCGAATGGTTTCTTTCGCATATGTCTATAGAACCATTCTGGCCGGTGCAGGTACTTATACAGTGTCCGAATCAAATGGTGCGTCAAATGTTCCAGAGGCTGGTCATACACGTCATACAAAGACTACGGTAAATGCACACTTTAATGTTGAAAGTCAGGCGTTTCAATGTTACAGTTAATGTCTTTCAGTGGCTCGCATGCGGATTTGTACTTGGTCGTGGAAACCGATGATGATGACAAGGAGCTCATCGGGCAGGCCTCCTGCGTCACACGTTTTATTACGTCGCTCATCTCGCTGCTTGAACATGGTGCCCGGTCGCATTTGCGCCATTTGTCAGAATATTTCAGTCTATTGCTTGAGTTTTCGCGCATGGGCGATGAGGAAGCTATGTTCCTTCTTCGTGTTGGAATACTGAAAAGCCTTGTCGATTTTTATTTAGGACACAAACAAACGGACAGTGTTAGTTGCAAACTCTAACTTCCTCTTGGTGTATTCCTTAACCAATTTGCTGTTCTCCTGATTTATCCACTTACAGATCGAAATCAGCAGCGACAACGAAGATAACAGTTCTGAAGAGGCCCTATCGGTGGAGAAAATGCGACCAGCCTCTCTAGATAAAATGATTGCATTATGTGCCAGTCTGGTGGAGCGTTCTCGCGGACCCGACTTTCGGCTGCGCCTTTCACCAAAAGATTTCAGTGCCATCGCCGGCGGCAAGGTGATACTCAAAAAGTTCGAGGGCGTTGCGTATTCAGTTTGAATATCGAATCGTCTTGGAAACCACGCACAAACTGTGTTCATTATTTGTTTTCTGCTTCCGTTGTTTATATTTCGTAGGGCTTTCCATTTTTGTATCAACAAATAAAGGATGGTATCAACCTGCACCAAACCAAGCATTTAATCCATGCCCTCTGTCGTTGGGATGAGCGCTTGGCCACGCAAATCATTGGTATGCTCTTCGCCTCAGTCACCAAGCACACGGAGCTGTGCGCACCTTTCTTCAAACTGCTTACACTACTCACAGAGACACAGGGTGGGCCCGTTGGCCTCCCCTGCTTCACGCAGTTGGTTCTGCCACGCATGTGGGATGCGGCCGAGTATTGTCCGCAATCGGTCCTAGACTGGCTCTCACTGCAGGCAACTAAGAACAAAATAGCGCACTCGTGGATCCTACAGTCAGCTGAAAGCTGGGTAGAGCAGTTTTTGTTAGCCCATGACAACACGCGCGTGCGCAACGGTACCATAACGTTCAATAAATACCCATAGAATATTGTTTCGGTTATTGCTAAGTTTAATTTGTTTTTCTAGCTGCCGCCTGTCTGCTTGTCGCTCTTGTGCCCTCGCAGCCATTCCGCGCCAACTTTCGGGCGCACTCACAGCATAAACTGCTGGCCCTCAATCCGCACAGTTATCGGTAAATATGTACTAAGTGGTGGTGATTCTTACAATGGTCGTCAGACCCATTGTTATTGTGTATAATAATAATAAGAAATAATAACACTAAAATACATAGAACAAATGTAGTGCAGTAGCCCTGGATTATTTAAATTTATTTTTCCTACAAATTTTTTAAATGTCACTAATTGCCGTTTTCCCGTTGGTGTGGCCATTGGTAAATAATACTAATTAATATTTCTGCAAACAATTTGTTAAATTATCTCAAACAACATATCTCTGTCGGTTCCTTAATTTTCTGACTATAACTTTAAAAAATTAGTTAAATATGGATTTTGTATGTACTCACTGGCTAAGTATATGGATTCTTGTTAGAATCCAAATATAAACAATAAGAATTCAGATTAGTGATGCAGGTGTTCCCAATAAGAATTATTTTCGAAGTTATTTTAAAAAGTCTGAATATTTGATTTGTTTTGTAAAACTTAATACGAATACGGTGGATATATTTTTTTAATCATTTTTGTGCCTAGGTTCTTTAAAAATTATATTTTTTTCTTCCTCTCTGCCCCGAAGTGACATCAACAACGATGCCCAGGTGGTGCTTCATCAGATTATCACGTTGCTGTTGCGCCTGCTAAGGCCAGCGCGAGTCTATGCCGATATTGGTGCACACGGCACCACCAAGCTAACCGCCTACTTTAATCTGCTGAGCTACTGTATGGTTTCAAAGACTGAAAAACTAATGGCAAGTTTTGCAGCGTGTTGAGAGATATAAAGTACCAGCTAATAGGATTTCTTTCCATCTTCTCTTATATATTTTGCGTATTTACAGATAGGTTCATTTATGCGGTCATTGTGGGAATTATTTCATCCGCGCCTATCCGAACCCAGCGTGCCCGCACACCACAATAAACACGCCCTGCTCACCTTCTGGCACCATTCGCTCGTCGACTGCCCCGAGAACGCAACACTGGTTGCCAACTGTCCGGAGATCACACGCAATATTGCATTTAATTATATACTGTAAGCTGTTGAAATCAGCGGCAAACGAAATCTTGCTATAATGCTTATTTCTTTTTAAAGAGCCGACCATGATGATTCCGAAATAGTCACATATAATCGTTCCATGCTGCCCGCCTACTATGGCTTGTTGCGTCTTTGCTGTGAGCAGAGCCGCGCACTCACTCGTCAACTGGCTCAACATCAAAATCTTCAGTGGGCCTTCAAAAATATTACACCACATCCCACACAATACGCAGCGGCCGTGGACGAGCTGTTCAAACTAATGACACTCTTCTCCACGCGTCATGCCGACGCCAGCGATCAGGAGAAACTCGATGTGATTTCATTCCGACGTTCGACCATTGTTTCCTATATGGGTAGTCTAGATGCGCGTGTCTCCTGGTCCACACTTATCAGTGCTCTTAAAATACTTGGTGAGTTTATTAGTTGCGAAGCAGACAACAGCACAATTCGTAGCTTGCTGTTGCACTCCTGCCGACTTTGAGGATCAAGTTTTCATCACGACTAAATACAAACATTTTCCGTTATACCTTATAGTGCTTTAACCGCTTTTATTTAAATGCAATTGCATTTACTAGAAAATGCTATTTCCAAGCCTATAGCTGCAATATGAGGTCAATATTCTGAATGCTCTTTATACCCTGTACCCAAAGAGTAAAAGGGTATATTACTTTTGTGCGAGTGTACATCGAACACACAGAAAGAGGCGTGGCAGATCCCACAAAGTATATATTCTTGATCAGCATGACAAGCCGAGTCGATATAGCCATGTCCGTCTGTCTGTATGAACGCAAGGATCTCGGAAAGTATAAGACCTAGTAAAACCAAACTTGGTATCCAGATTCTCCTGAGTCCGAGAAAGGACGAGTTTGTTCATTTTTTCTAAAACAAATGGTATTTTATTAGAAAATCAAATAGATCGGATATTTGAATTTGTGGGTTTTTTCTTCATGGTTATAAAATATTTATATTGTAAAATTTTCAGTGGATAACGACGAAGATCGCATGCTGGTCATCTTTAATGGCGGCATTGAAATGTGCTTTGATGCTCTACATACGCTACATTCCATGCATCACGAGGCCACCGCCTGCCATGTGGCGGGCGATCTCCTGGAGCTGCTCGGCGAGCTGGTATTGTTGCTAGCTACGCTACGCACGCGCACCGACAGTCCGGCACAGAAGAAACAACAGCAGCAACAACTGGAGCAACAGCTGCAGCTACAGCAGCAACAGTTGCTGCAGAAGCAACAACAAACACAGTCGACGCAGGCGCAGACGCAACAGCAGAAGGAGAAACAGCTACACCAGCAAATGCAACAGCACCTCCAACTACAGCAGCAGATGCAGCACCACTTCCTGCGCCAGCAACATCAGCACTCCTCGCTAGCTAAGGGACTCCCCGACGCCATCAAGCGCTTGGCCACTCTTCTGAACACCTTCAACTCGCCCGAAATCAGCCGCATGGCCCTGGAGGTGCTCAAAGAGCTAGTGCGCAACACAAGCCTGGAAGCCACCAGCATTTTGGCGCCAATACTGATTAACTTCCACCTTTCGGTGGCCAATGCCCCGAATGCGATTGGACCACTGGGACCGTATTTCCCTCGGCGAGGCACAAAGTCGCCCTGGCCTTTGGGTGCAAAGAATTCTCCACGTCCGCCACGACCCATGGTGCAGATGTGTATCGCGCCCGCTGAATTAACACCACGTGGCGTGGATTCTGAATACGATGCGCAGGTCGATGCATTCTATAGACCCTATCATGATTTTATAGATGTGATGTTGCGAATGTGTGTTAACACGGGCGCACTTAACGACACTCTCGTAAAGCTACACTGCCTGGTGGCCATTGAATCGGCACCCTTGCATTTTAACTACTTTCCGAAGTTCTGGGTTGGCATACACAACAATGCGCTAACACACAAGTGAGTACTAGATATCAATACCCCTGAATTTGAAGCTCCTCCACTAGTGATTGTGTTTTCATGTTAATATTCAAATATCCCCACATCATTATTCCCATTATTCTTAACATATATTTATTATACCCTATTTATTATACCCTGTTTGGTTCGATATTTGTTTGGTCTGGTGTTTTAACTACGGGATGAGATGCCATCAGTCCACTTTTCTGTTTCCCCTCGGCTCTAATGCTATTACAAGTTTGCACATTCGGGTTTGTAGGCTGTCCTGCAAGAATGTAATATGCATGCGAAATCCGCTATATGAAGATAGCGGATATCGTTATATCGGGTTATACAATCTATCATATTGAGTTGCGGAAACGGGATTATATTTTTTAGTTAATCAACTTTCATGTTTTGATTTGTAAAGTATTTGTTACAGTAATTCATGTTCTTATTGGAAGTATAGACCTCCACTCTAAAAAAAAGGGTGAGGTGACAATTCTTGATAGGTCGATTCATTTGTGAGATAAATTGTGTTTAACATAAATGCTAATAAGGAGAAAATCCGGTACATAAAAAAATTGGAGTTAGGCTTAACTGAAACTAAGACGGTTTTTGGAAATTTTGGAAAATATGTAGTGCCCTGATACTAACTCGGTCAATTATTCGCAATTTCGGTTTTATAAATTTGGACTTGAATGGAGAATAATTGTCACCAAAGATCACGTGGATTGAAATTTCACCTGCGCCAATCGGAATGAAATCGACTCATTTCCTTATGGACTGATGATGTAAAATGGGTTACACACTATTCTGGTAAAAGCTTAGTGAAACAATTCAAACAAAATTTAGTTGACGATAATGACAATTACTTTGCCAACGGTTAGGTGCCTTTCTGTAATCTTACATATGTATATTTATAATGTTTTTGGATATACATATGTAGTTATTAATGTGACTCCTATACACTCCTGTAACATATTCGACTTTGTGAACAAGCGACTTGTCTTGTAAGAGATAAACCTATATAACATTTTACCAATGTGTGTGCCGGTTTCAGGTCGGGCTCGGAACTCATCACTGTAGGGACAACCTTTTTGAGCAATTTCGCAATTAGCAGTGTTATTCGACTGCTAACCACCTTTTTTCAAGCTTTATGCTGCCAGCTGCTGTGGAGTGCTCTTAGTAAGATACCTACTCGTATATTGATTATCTTTCTTTCAGTTTCAAGTACCTGAACTTCTCTGTAGCTTGTGATTATACCAGTACACTATAGAGCAGTATTAGTCGCATCACTGAAATGTAGATCCAATGTATCAGTTTTGGTGAGAGTCCCAAGTAGTACCTAGAATTTTTTGCGATGCCTAGGGTGCGCTTGTGGCATTGTTCACCCTTCCCTCAACATTGACCCTCAACGTGTACTATTGGCGACGCTTAATGCCCACTTTTGTGTCTAATGTAGAGGTTTATCTATGATTGAGCTGATGGTCGAGGAATATTTTTCCGCATAGGCCCCATTTCGTTCAGATACCTTCTTCTTCCCGACAGCAGCTTTCTGAGTCTCGCTGTTTCTTTGACTTTTTCTAGACTGCCACAATAATAGCTCCATTAGTCTTGTTTCGCCTTTTTCACTTCCTTTTTGAAATTTCGTAACAGTATCTTGTATTCATTACAGAAACTCTTTTCGTTTACTTATTAAGCTAGTTTGATAAATTCGTGGACATTTTTTCTGTGTCCACAGGGGATCTCCTGCTTTATGAGTTTGTTGTGAATAAATTTGGCTTTAAAAACTATTTGACGGTGTTCTGAGAAAGAGTATCTGTCCATTCTGATACACTCGCCTTCGGCCCGTTTGTGATCGCTAGATCAAGTACGTTCGACGAGGTTGGTCCTAAATATGTCCACCTCCCCGACGTTTTCTTACACAAACTTATTCAATCACTCATATTGTAATATATAAATCTAAACATTTTAACGCATGACAGGTATGCCGATCTTCTCGTGAAGAATCAGCTGCTGGTGGAGTATCTGCACATTGTGCTCCGGGACGAGCGGACCATGCTGAAGGATGCATTTGTGCGCGAGTTCCTGGAGACCTACTATCCGAAGGTGGCCACTCAGCTACCGGTGGCGCGCATGATTTACACTATCAACTATGGTATGCACTCTAAGGACGACATTGATGAGTTATGTGGCGATCTGTTTGCCATACGTATCATCGCCAATGCGACGGGAGTGCCGGCATCGGTGCGAAAGGAGTTACGTGGATCCCTGCGTGCGTTGCTCAACAAGAGCGAGCGATTCAAGAAGGAAGCCGAGCGAGGTTGGTGTTATGTTTTCAGAGAAATACCAAAATATAAATAGGATAATTAAATCGCTCTTTGTATTTTAAACGTTTTTTAAATATTCAATCTCGAGCAATCATCAATATACCTCGGCTATTTTTATACAGGTATATAGTGGATTGTTGGACTAGCCCGGCTATGCGGCAGATATAGTATGATTGTTGAGTATGCTACAACTATGATTGCAAACATTATTTTAAAATTAAATAAATATTAGTTATAGTTGAACAACAACAAAAATACTTTCCCGCACTTGAGCGTAGGAGAATATAAATACGAGTCTCGGATACTTCATATAATTCTTTCCTTGTATTCAGCGGTTGAAGCGTTAAAAAATACGGTCGCAGTCCCCACCATTTAAATGCGTCTAATATAATCAATTATCGTATATCGTTTTAGACCAAACGCCTAACAAGAAGCAGAAGCGGGACTCCTACAACAAGGAAAAAGATAAAGAACAATCACAATCGGAAACTGAGCTTGCAGAGTGCAAATCCATGACATCAAACAAAAGCAACAGTGAGGCGAAAAGCGCAACTGTTGACGCCGTCGCTGAAGTAGCCATGGAATCGCAAGGCATTAGTGCGATGACTGACGTTGAACCGAAGTCCGGTACAGAACCCGTAGCACAAAGTGAGGATGAGCATATGGAGAGTACATCAGAGAAATTGGAGAAATCAGCCCCATCGTCAGACGACGAGACAGAACTCGAGGATGAGCTCGAACCGACACCAAAGCGCGGGAAAACGTCAAAGAAATCGGCGCAGAAAAAAACTGCACAAGATCGCCTTAATGAGGATCGCAAGAAGCGTCTGAGCACACTAATCACTATGGACTCCTATATACATAGCATTTTGGCCATTATGAAGCGCGACTCAAATGCGATTTCTAATGCACACGCGGCTGGAGCGCACAACGAAGATCAGGGGGCGTCCACATCGGCAGCAGCAGCTTCCAAAGGAAAACTCAAGCCCCTCACTCCGCCAGAGCCCAAAGCAGAGCCGAGCGTGGATCAAATGGAAATGGACACAGCATGTCCTGAGCCGCCGGTCCTAACCAACAAAGCCAATGGAAGCAACAGTAGTGGCGGCAGCGGCCAGCTATTGGAACATTCTAAGGAGCCATCGATTAAAGAATCCAGTGCAGAGTCCGCCGGACTCAGTGCTTCAGTGGCCACAGCCTCCCCTTCGCAGGCGACAAGTCCAACGCAAATTTAGTTGTCGTTTAATGATTTGCTGAATATTTTGTTTTTTGGCAAGACATTAGACTGATGCACTGCTCGCGACGAGTGCGAGGAACGCGGCTTGGCTAATAAGTTCTTAAGTTAGTTTGCATGATTTAATATTTTCATTTTGAAAACTCTTAATTAATAGGAATTTCTGGCCAAAGGTCAAGCTAAAACGCAAAACAATACATGTGAACAACCCAAGGTTGGTGCTGAGGAAAGTGCTTAAAAGGAGAAGGAACATGAAAATGGGGAGAATTGGAGAAGGAGGATTGGAAACGGCACAGAAATTTGAAGAAACGTTATAGATTTAAATTAGGCTTACAACATATTCAAATATGTATGCCAGCATACACAATTGAAGCAAATCATTCATAAATCCACACCAACTACAAACAGCCGCATACACAAGCCCATGCTCATACCCGTACATATATGTATACATACACCGAAATCCAGAAATCAGTAACTACAAGTAGTTTATAAGCATAGTCCACCCGCAGTCACTCGCACGCATCAAAACAAACACTTGGCATCCCCTATTAAAGATAGCTAAGCAAAACGTTTAAACAAATTCACACTAGTACTTTGTTATTATACAATAATCAATGCCAAATAAAATTATTCGAGTGGGCAATGAAACGATAAATAAAAAGGAATACAAACTTTGACAAAAAGTAATAAACAAAGGCTTATGAGACGCTAATATCTATACATTGTAGAAACCTTTAGGTACTGTCGAAACGCTGCTAAGCTTAACACGTATTTAATTTTTTAGCCCCCACCCATAACACTATTTGCTTCCTTTTACTCTAATGCACGACTTTACATATGTATGTTAATTACAAAGGAACAGATATTACACAAAAAATCAAATTTTAATCGATTACGAGAACTTTGAGTGTAAAGTGCTAACAGTTGATAGATGTTTGATTAAATAATTTTCGTATACAATGTAATGTAGCATGTAAGATTAGAATATTGTCCAAGTGAAACAAGGACAATGGAAAGGAATAAAAATAATAATACACAAAATAATCACACACACACACACACAAATGATCGTAATCTATTAGTTGTAAGCAGCAAGGCGAACGAAAACTACAATTTATGTTAGTATGTGTGTTAAATATCAAACCCGTACACACACAGTTTGAGTATATAATAAATGATGCAGCATATAAGAGTAAATTCTAGTTGAAGTCGTTCCTTTGTACAAATAGTTTACAACTTTTTCAATAGTATGCATTAAATGCACGTGAATTGAATTTACTCGTATTATGAGTACAAGTAAATGCGCTATTCTCGGTGTGAACCAAAAAACAGAAGGAACATAATTTGAACAAAATCCCTTATTCCTTATATAGAAAAAGCAATGTGCCTGAACAATTATTTTTTATTGGGAAGCATTTCTACTTGTTTTTGCCATTTGTCAGCACTTTGTTTCTAATACTTTCCTTTATAAAAACTCAAATGATAATTATAATGGCTTTATTCATTTCATTCCCGAAGCGGGTACCAAATGATTCATTAATACTTTTCATCATACTTAAGGTTTGTGAACAAACCTGGCCTCAGGCTGATAATGACTCTTCTATTTAGCAATCCAAGACACATACATATGTCTTGAATAATTTATTTGTTTGCATGTCTGGACCCTTGGTCTCTTCATTTGATAAAATACATTGCTCCGCCGGCAACTTGAGCGCTCAAAGATAATGACATTTTATCAAACATGCTCTACTTATGTATATCTCACTACTGAGCTTGGCATTCTAGATAGGCAGTAGACAACCGTTCAATATCGTTATGAAGATGGCGCATTGCGTTTCTTCAATGGTGGCTTCCACTCTGGACGGGAGCCAAACCCGGGAGCTGCTTAAGTAAGTCACTTCTTGCTATTGTATGCAGCAATAAGATGTTTATAGAGGAATAAGCGCTTTCGATTTAATGTTTATCTGTTTGCTGTCTTGCTTTTCGCTCCCCTTTTGCTCGTGAACTGCACCTGTTGAGTTCAACCCCGAAAGCAAATTATTTTGACGCGCATGCTCCGCTCCAAGTCAAATTTCTCCGACTGAATAATAATTTTCACAGTTTCGAGCAGTCGTCAGTATTGAAGATACTTTCAGTTTGTGAGCATCTACATACATAATAATTTTAAAAAAATGCCTTGCGGTGGGTGTGAGAAAGGTAAGCAGTAAAAAATTTTAACCGATGTATACCTGCTGCTATTTGTCCTTTTTCGACATTATCTGCACAGAATGCAAATGTACTAGCGAGAAGTGCGCAGAGAACTGCAAGTGCACGGAGGCGAGCAAGTGCGGCTGCCGTGGGAGCGCCAATCCTCCACCTGCAACATCGGGTGCTGGCTGTTGCAAGAAGGCTGGGGCAGGGGATGGCAAAAGCACCTGCTGTGGCGGTGCCGGCGATAAAAAATAGGACGAGCGCCTGGAATGTGCTGAAAACGGGCAAATGCATGTCACTAATTTGATGGAAGGTGGCTGACGCCTGATATTATTTACATCTGCATATACATTTAGTATATACACATTTATTTGTTTAAAGGCAAATTATTTACTGCAAACATAAAGTAATCCTGAACACCAGTTTTAACTTCTCATTACATTCTAGGGGTGGCAATGTTCCAAAATCGTAATTAATTACTTCACTAAATTAAATAACAAAGAATAGATAGAGTTTCCAGAAGACATAACAAACTGTCCAACAACTAATGCGCTGTGTTTAAATGACAAAATGTGATTTATTTAGTTTATACATTTCTTACAAAAGAGATTGTTTACACAAACCGGCTTAAACATTTTTCTACAGCTGGGTGCGGCAAGAACTTCATGTGGAACTAAACGAACTAAATTCTTTTTTTCGCAATTTTCTCGTGTTATATTACAGCGTGAGTTTTTTTTATTTATTTGATATAAAACAATTGCAAATGTTTTCTTTCAACAAATATGAGCCACTTGTGTTGCGCTTACATTTTATATATAAAGTTATATAGACCAACTACAATTTTATATTGAGTTTTATAAAAAACAGATTTCTTCAATTAGTCGATACCAGCTATTAACTATAAAGTAATCTAACACAAAATAAAAGGACCATCATTGCAAATTTTCAGCTACGGCTTCACATGTGAGCATGGGATTGGCATCATAGATGGTTTGATGGCCGGGCAGAATGATATATTTATTTAGTTACGTTTCGATTTGCGCTTTTTTCGTGACAGGGTCGAGGACGTGGCCGACTGTTTGGTCTGTGATTCGATTTGATTTGTTTGTTGACTGCCGATTCCGCCGCCACCACCACCGCTGACCATATGCCAAATATTGCTTAGAAATCCTCTGCCTGAGCTTTGGTTGCCGCTTGATTTGCATGCCACATTGTTGTTGTTGTTATTATTCTTATTTGCAAGCTGCTTCCGTGGCGGATGCGGCGACTGTTGCGCTTTTAGCTGCGCTGATTGGGCGTATTCTCATGAACGCTTCATCTTGCCATTAAGTGCCGACGATCGCGATGCAGCACCTCCTCCTACAGCCGCCTCGGCCGCATGTGTGGCAACATGTTGTATGCCCTTCTCCATGCAGCCCTGATAGATGGGTCGCATGAACTGTGGAGGAAGATTCAATTAATTTGGAATTAATTAAATAGTGGCCATTTCACTTACATTCTCCCACATGAGGGTGGCGAAGTCATCGAGCTTGCCACCAAAATCACTCAGCTCGCCGCTATATCTGTAAAAACAAATTACAAGAGATCATTAGCTTCAGGTAATTACAAGATTTAATTACGGTAAAGTCCCCTATTATAATACAAACTAAACAATTCAAACGAATTATGCGCCTTATCTGTGGAGCACACAATTTTGATAAATTCGTGTTAGTGCCCCCAAAAATATTGAAAAATGTACATCTACTGTATAACTAATATATTTAAAGGTACATACACATATGTATTTTATTACCTAAATAATTAATTTTGGTTTTGAACCGTTTTGTATGGTTGCTTTATTTGTCTAATCTATCGTTACAACAAGCTAAAGATTTAATTATGCAGTTGACTGAAGCAACTATTAATCAAAGCTGCAATTAAGCATGTAATTGCGGATTGACTTTCCAATCTTCTCCTTTTATTATACCTTATGCTCTAAGAATTTCAATGTATACATACATACATACATATGTATGTAAATTAGTGCCAATTTATTTTGAGCTAAAAGCTTAAGCTTTAACAGTAACAAAATGGGCGCTTTACGGAATTTCTAAAATAAATACTAGTGCGACACTAAAAAAGTTTGAATAATACTCACCGAATATATGCCCATAGTGCCAGCGTCAACAACGCCACGCCCATGATCAAATTGCAGAAATTACAAAATGTATAAAGACCGACAAGGCCAAAAATTCCACTGAGGATGTACATGATGACGGCGCAGGCGAAATACACTGCCGGCGTGCGTGCCGCTTTGAAGATGTTTTTGCTTTCATTGTGCGCCTTGTAGTTGATATAGACCTCCTCGAGGTCCTCGTCTAGTTGTTGGCGGAATTTCTCTGTAAACTCTTCGCCGCCCATTTTGCGTTTCGCTGCGAACTGAAAGAGTGCTTTGTCCTTCACCCGTAGGTGTTCCGTCTCAAGATGGGCTGTGCTTAAGTACGGTCGCGTGCCGCCGCAAACCTCCTCCATAAGCTGGTTATAAAGTTCCTTAGCCGCCGCTACAGCTGTTAGATGGTTTGCCTCAGCCGTTGCTACCAGCATGCTCTTGGGTTCGGGAAGTTCGTTCCCTTTGTATATGTTCATGTACGACTGGAAGTATTGTATGAGATCGCGTGCGCGCACGCGTTGGCCGCTTATCTCTTTATAGACGAGATTATCAGGCGCCAATAGCATGGGGACCAGGGTGCGAAGGCTCTGCTTGAACTCGGGCGTAATGTCCTTGAGGCGACCATCGAACTGTGGATTTGTGGCAACATTGAGACCGGGGTGTGGCATCAGAAAGCAGGCGACTTCCATGAAGCACGACGAGATGTGGCGGCGCAACGACTGCAGTTCCGGATGCTGTTTGTCGGACACCTCAAGGCGGCGTTTTAGTATCTTATCACCGCCAATGGCACCGTACTCAGCCTCGTACGGAAAACTCCAGTCACGCACCAAAAATTGGAGCCGCTGGAATGGTTTCTTGCCAGTATCGGCCAGCGCCAGGCGGCCGTACTCCGTGAACAATTGCAAATGCTGCAGATCATCCTCTTGTATATTCTGTGAGAGATTGTAGATCTGAACGGAAGATAGCATGGTGCTGAGGGCAAACACTGTTGCGCAGTCGCGCACCGTGCTCTGGCTGTCGAAGGCACCCTGCGTATCTAGCAGTATGATGGCAATCTTGTCGCCATTGGGATAGTCGTGCACGAATATATCAGACCACATGAGTATTCCAGTGGTGTCGCGCTCTGAGCCGCCGCGCCACGAGAACCCGGACAGCGGCTCCTGTTCACCGCCCAGCCAATCGCCGACATCATGGCGCACATACTGCCAAGTAAATTAAATTAAAATAGCTATCTAACGAATGATAACAAACATCTGTACATACTTTTGAGTACATGTAGCGCAGGAAAAAGTCGAGCAGAAAGCTTTTGCCTTTCCGAAACGCTCCGGCCACAGACACTACGCAGACGAAACGATCTTTGATCTCATCTCGCATTAGCACCTCACTCAGGGCATCCTCGTTGAGTACGAACGTGTGCTCCTCCGATGCATTTATTACCTGCACTGCCGAGCCTTCCATTCCTGCTGCTCCGATTGTCTGTATATGCCTGTAAGCGTTAATGAGTTTGTGTGTGGGTGTCAGCGTGGTAGAGTCAGATGGAGTTGAAAAAATAGTTTTGATTTAAATGGATTTTGTTAAAAAGCTGTAACGAAGAAAACAAAAAAATTAAGTTGGTGATTTCAAAAATTTTAAGGGCGGGCAGGCTATTTATTTTCAACTGAATAGTGTCAGAGTGTAATGGTTAATTGCGCAAGTTCTGATAGTTAGAATATTTTCTGGCAGAAGTTCATGTGTTTCTTTGAATTTGGCACATAATGTCCCATTCCGCAATTATGAGGCGGCCAAAAATAAACCCTAACAATTCGCTAGCTTGGCATCAACAGACGTGACATATGCCGCCGCCGCCGCCGACATCGACGGCGACAGCGACATTGTCTCGACTGTGATATGTAAAAAAAAAAAACACAACATTGGGACGCACTTTGGAGGCGCAGGTGCCAAGGTACCAAGAGCAGCTGCTTAACGAAGTCAACGACGTCAACAACTATGCTGATTTAGTGACAAATTCGCAATTCAAAATGCATTTGCAGAACGCTACGTAATAAGGCAGAAACGCGCAGGTACTCTCCACTCACTTTTGATGACGTCGACTGTCTTCGTGGCTACGCAGTTAACCAGTATTTTAATTCTTTAATTAAAAACATGCCCAAAACAAAATAACAATTGACAAGCAGGCGACGCTTCGCCACGTACCTCGATGAAAACTAATAAAACTAATCAAGTATATACATATTCATATACCCTTTCAGTTTACTATATGTAGGTTCCATGTGGGTCACAAGTCTTTGCCACCAGTCTGCGTGCCTAGCTGTGATTTAATTGAATTGAATTAGCGGAGGAGAGCAACGCATCGACCGTCACGACTGTCAACCAAATCGAACTGCACAACACGCAAGTCACCGACTGCCTTGGTGGCTGCCGTTGTTTTTGTTTCTGTGTCTGTCTCTGCCTTGGAGCCCGCTTAGTCAATGAGTAACGAATTTGTGTGCGTTAAATGAGTGAGCGATCGTGAAGAGAGCGTAAGCAATATGTATACGTACAACTATATGTGCATGTATAAATACATGATATTAGAATACTGAGCTCAGCATTCCCAGGATACTTCTAAACATGAACAGTTGTATTGGCAGCAGAAATACATTGGATGGACTTCTTTTGGCAAATCCGTGGAAAATAAAATGAGACAGTTTAAATTATATCTATTAATTTGCCCTCGACATCCACAATGAGATTCAAATTTTTATGCTGGGCTGGCAATGCTGACCATCAGCCGTTACCTGTTTACCAAGCTGAGCTCTCAGGTGCGAAAAGGATAACTATATCAGCCACCAACGATCCGATCGAGAAAAAGTAAAATGCTGCTGGCCATCTCGTTTGTTTCAATGCTCTTAGCGGCCTAAACACGAATTGTAAACATTGAAACATATAGCCATGAAGCAAGAGCAACAGTTGAGAGCGACGCCAACGCAAGCGCCGACGCTGACAGTGCGATTAGTCAGTCAACTGGAATTGTTGTCGACGGCTTTTGGTTGCTGAGAGCAACGCAAACTGAAAGTGGAAGCAGCAAACAGTAAAGTTCTGAACAGCGTTTTAAATTAAATGAAAAATGAAAGAAAATAGTTGAGCGCGCAAAACATTGAAAAATAAACGTTTAATTAATAGAATAGGTTAATTAGACCCCAAAAAGTGTTTAATTAGCTCAATCAAAGCGACACACAAAAACGCAGTAGCCGCTTTGTGGAGGGTGCATCACTTCTAAAGGCAGGCTCAGCCAGTCAGTCAGCCAGCCAGTCGCTTAGCATGAAGAGCACCAACACCGGACACCGCCCAAATGCCAGCTGGCACAGTTATGTGCTCACCTCGTGGTTCAGGCTGTTACTGGTGGCTTCGATGGTCATCGCGCAACGGCCATTGAACGTGGATGAGCCGGCCTATTACTATGTGGGCTGTTATACCGCGCGCACTGATCTTCTTAAGGAGAGTGTGTATGCAAAGACGCCACAGACTTGCATCGAGATCTGTGAACATCAGGGCAACAAATATGCCGTGCTGGCAGCGGAAAAGTGCTTTTGTGCCAATCAGTTAGAACACGAGGAACAACAGGACGAGCAGTTGTGCAACACACGCTGTCAGGCCAACAAGGCACAGTATTGTGGTGGCGTGGGTGTTCATTCCTATTACTCTACGACACTAGTAAATCAGCCGGCACCCCATAATCTGCGTCTGGCGAACAGCACAGAAAACAGCTTAAGTCTGGAATGGGATTCTTACGAGCCGCGCAAGCTTCTAGTTGTTGGAGCAGGTGAAGTTATGCCACCAGAGCAACAGATTGCCAATTTTGTGATCGAATCGCAAGTAGTCCAGACCTACAGCTCCTTGCCCGCCTTTCTGCCCGCCAAATTCATAGTGCAAAGTACGGAGACACAATTCGAGCTGACGGATCTGCAACCAGCTACCCTTTACAATGTAAGCGTAACAGCCATATGTGTGGATCAGTTGAATGGGAATTGCGGCTCTGCCTTGCTGCTGGCGAGCACCCAGGTGGGGGTGCCGAGCCCGGTGCCTCCTCAGCCAAAGATTTTGTCACGCGCAGACACAACGCTGACTGTAGAGCTGTCGCCTCTAAGGAATGACAATGGACCTGTTAGCAAGTTGCTCATTATAGTGGAGCGTGTAGATGACTCACTGAGTCAGCCGTTTGACCCGCAGCTGCTAGGCAGCTGGCAGCAGGCGCAGCAGGATGGACTGCCCTACTATATAGCTGCGGAATTGGATTATGACCGCCCCGAAGACAATCGAACTCGTCAATTTGTGATCGGCGATGGCAAGCGCTATGGTCGATATCGCAACGTACAGCTTGAAAAGCTTCCGGGCGAGGAGAAGGCCCATGTACACATTAGCTTAGGCGTGGTAAGTGTGACGGAAATCGACGATAGTAAAGAACTAAATTTGCTAATATTTTTTGTACAATCCAAACCTATGGATAGGTGAGCACTCTAAATGGAGTGACCAAGACACTTTACACGCACAGCACTCACGAACAGCACGGCAGCTCCCTGGACGACTTCAGTTACGCGACCTTCGAGAAGGGACGGTCGTCGGTGGTAGCCCTGACCGTTACCTGTATAATCTTTGGCAGCTGCCTACTGCTCAGCCTTATCACGTACTTTTATTTACGATACAAGACGTATCGTGCTCGAGGCTTGGGCGGACGCAATGCACACGAGATGACTTTGCAGACACCCATTATAGAACGCGAAAATAACGGCTATTTAGTGGAGGATGAACTACCGCCCACGTTGGAGAATTTTAAACAGCAGCTGCAGGCAATTGTGGAGGCTATGGAACTGATGAAACGCTTACCGCGGAATGCGTTGCGTCTAAATGTGAATGACGTCATTGGCGAGGGTCGCTATGGCGAGATTATTACTGGCAAGCTGACATCCAGCTCTGGCGATACGTCCTCCGACTGTGCCTTGCACGTTCTGGCCCTGGACGAGCTGACTGCCACCGCTCAGGCTCAGCTTCTGCGGGAGATGCGCAATATGGCGCAGTTGCGTAGGCACGAGCACATACTGGATTTCCATGGAGTCTCCGCCAGCCCCGATTGGTTCTACTTGGTCTTTGAGCACCAGCCGGTATCGTTGAAACGTCGCCTCATCGAGAGTCGACGTGCGCCGCACTCGGCGCCCGTACAACGGATAACAACGCTTTCAGAACAGCTGGTGCTTCAATGGATCTACGAACTAGCCAGCGCTATGGCTTATTTAGGCAGTTGCCAGGTACTGCATCGTCAACTCTGTTCCCATAGCGTTCACATTACTGCTAGCGAATCAAAGCTTAAATTGAGCGTTTTCGGGCCACTTCACTACGTCAACAGCAATCGGCAGCAAGTGGATCTAACGCGATGGCAAGCTCCAGAGGTGCTGCGCTATCAACATTACTCGGTGAAGTCGGATATTTGGTCCTTTGGCTGCGTAGCCTGGGAGTGCTGCGCCTTGGGCGGCACTCCTTATGCCAGCTTGGCCAGCAATCAACAGCTACTGGATGCTATACGCAGTGGTTCGCGACCGGCACAACCTGCTTTTGTATATGAAGATCTATATCAACTGCTTCTTAACTGTTGGCAGATGGATCCGAGCAATCGCATTGGCTTCGAGGATGTGGCTTACAGTGTGCGTCAGCTAATGACATCGGCACGCCATGCGCTATGCTTTGATCGTTCGACCGACTCGGTGGTGACGTCGGCGGCGACTCCGATACTAGACACATTGCCATTCTATCTGCCTATGCTTGAGCTGTGCAACTAGTGTAGAATAAAGTATAGATTCATACCAAGCAGACTCGTGTAGTGAATAGGACATGAAATTCAATGACTTTTAACCAAATGCACAATTCGTGTGAATTATCAAGCCAATAATAATAAATAATGGGCTATTGTTGCTCTAAGGAGGTGTATAGGCATTGTATAGAAGGGAGTCAAGATTACGTCAGGTATTTGTATAATTCGCACACAATTTTAATAATTCTCAATGTAATATCTCTTTATCACCTGAACAAGTGGACAGCGTCAGAAAATGCATGCAATGGGCTACAAACAAAAACTATCTGAGCGGATCGCACCAAGAAAAACTTATAGACCACGACGAGCTAAAGAGAGCAAGCACATTGGATCAGTCATTCAGAATTCAAAATTTTTGTATTCAAACATTCATTAGCCACTGATATATTGAAAAATTCGAAGGATATAATTGATTATAAAAGTATGTACAACACATAAAAAAGCCATAAGGCTCTAAGCTGGGGTTCAATTTGATTTGGCAGTCACTATGAATTCCCAACCCTTTTCGAGCTTCTGCTGAAAAATATAGCAATTGTTGGAATTTTGTCAAGTTCAAAGTGTGCTGACGAGAAAAAAGGCAGATTGTCAAAAGTTTTAAATTTCGAGGTTTTATATGGGGACGAGAAAACTTGATTCCTTTCAGTCAAGAAGAGAGATAGATAGTAATGAAAATCCACTGAAATATCATAATTAAATTCCAGCGTATTGTCGAAATAAGTAAAACTGAAGTGCAAGATCCAAATAATGAATTTAAAACCTTTTTAAACCACTGTGCAATGGCTCTTTCCCTCTCACTCTCTCTCTGAGATTGGGCAAGCAATCGAGGCGGCCAATTAATAATAGAAATGTCATGCAAAGAAAACGAAATATAAAAATGAACGATTAATCGGTTTAAAGGTCGCGCGACAGGGGGCAGCTGCATGCATATCTGCATACTTCTAGATACATACAGCAAGTTTTAAAAATGTAGTCGTAATTAGAAATTAGCTGACAGAAGCGCTGAGCCAAATTGCATATGAAATTTGCAACCAATAAACGATTGTTGGCATGCCGCACCACACAACGATCAAGAGACGGCCAGAAAAATGATGGTGTATTAGTCACAGAAGCCAAATGAGAGCGGAGGCTGTCCCAGCAGTTGGTTAATACTTTAAGCATTTCGGACACTTTGGCAAACGGACAGCTAACGCATCTGCTTCTGACCAATACACATGTCCAATTGGAAACATATGCTTATCTGGCAACTAGCAGAGCTGATAAGCCAAGGGGCCATCGAGTGGTTTTGATTACCTAAAGCATTCGACGTGCAGCGACTGAGGCACTATTTCTGAAGAGCACCAATGAAGCGCAACCGATTTTAAACAAAAAAAAAAAAACCAAAAGCGACACCATTTTTGCTGTTATTGGACGGACGACTTTTGCACCCGACAAAGCGACGACGACGTGTTTTGCGAGTCAAGGTGAATGACGTTACCAAACTCAGTAGTAGCAAGCCGCAATAACAACAATTGAGATCACCACACAAATATATGTACAATATATACCTATGTATGTACACATACCCAATAGAAATTATTAATAAATCAAGCTATGTGCGGAGTGTTCGAGCCCTGAAATTGGGAGTGCGCGCGAAAGAGCTGGCGCTTTTCACCTGCATATTACGAAATTATAATTTCTGTTCTGCAAATGTAAATTGACACATGCCTATGTTCAGCGAAGAAGGCGACGCAATAAGAGTTGTTATTGTTTTTATTACATACACACTATGGAATCCGACCAACCGCAGTCGAAAGTTGTTTGTTTCCACAGTGCACGAGCAAACACATACACATTGACGCGCGCGTCTTTACTTGTTCTCAAATGTATTCGTATTATATTTTACTCACTGTAAATGCTTCTTGTTTTAAACGTGCATCTAAATATACTAAATATTTGCTTTTGTTGCTTCGTACCAAAGTGATTATAGGTGACAGAAAAACCTCCCACAGATATCGATAACACACTCTGTATCGATAACACGCTATGTTATACGGCAGCCCCAAAAGTGCGGCCAATTTTGCGCATGGCGCGGAAAAACACCTCATTTAACAAAGAATAAAGTTTAACAACTGCCGATGTATGTACATATGTATGGAGATAGCATTTATGGGTATAACATCCTTAAGAGTTGATTTTTCGCGATAAGACTTAGTATATAATCATATACATATGTATGTATGTATATACATACATATGTATTTATTATAATCTATGTACAAGAGAATATGTACATACATACATATGTATGTACGTATAAGGTTGCGGGAGGTGAAAAATGTAACAGACAGAAGGAGGCGTGGCAGACCACACAAAGTATGTACATATATACATACATGTATGTATATTCTTGATCGGCATGACAAGACGAGTCGATCTACATATGTATGTTTGTATGTCTGTCGGAGACTAGAAGACCAAGAAGCACCAAATCTTATTCCAAGATGCATTTTGTGAATACGCAGAAAATGTGTATTTTGGAATTTCCCTCCATCCACCCCACGAAATCCGCGATTTTCCAGAACTCCCGGAATTCGTAAAATTTCGAACTCAAATTTGGCAATTTGGTTAAGTTTCATCATACATACATACTTGTATGTCAATTTAAAAGGAAGTTATAGATATGTATGTATGTATGTATGTAATGTCTGAGCAAGCCAGCAGCTGTAGGTTTTGTTGATGCTTGGCTCAACTATGTACTGCACGCATGCTTACACACAGGCACACACACTCACAATTCCGATTTTATTTATTATTGTTAACGTTTTACAATTTTTCGATTTGTTTTACACATAAGTACACATCATTTCAATGTCGGGCTTTAGCTTTTCCACTTGTTTTATAACAATTTCGTTTATTAGGTTTCGGTTGTGTGGTTTTATTTCTTCATTTAATTTATGATTTAATTCGATTAATTATCCTACTAGTCCGTACTGGTTTTCCCTACTCTAATAAGCTTAGAAATCAATTTCTCTTGTTCTCCAGCATCTTATAAAATATAGTTTCACAAATATTTTTAAACATTTGTCTTACAATCTTTCTGATTATTAAGCTGCTTAAGCCTGATGATCCATAAATATGCTTATAAATATGTACATACATACATATGTATGTATGTATATAAGAATTTACAAATATAACTTATTAAGCTACCCTAATCATATTTTCATAAATTATTGTAATTACTGTTGTTGTCTTAGCCATGTAAGGCCTCATCGTGGTCGACGCTCAATACCATTGTCCGTACACATGCTACGGCTTTTTTTCACGCCTAAACAAGATGCATACCCCATGGCATGGGGTATAAAGTTTTGCTCGTAGGCACCCGTGAGGAGATGTGCGTAGGGGCCACTGGCAAAGACTGCAACGTCATCGCCACCGTGTGTTTCCGAGGGCAGTGGAACCATGGAAGGGAACATGAAGTCATTGTTCTTCATGTTGATGGCACGCAGATTCTTTCGTTTGACTTCACTGCCCTCCCGTAAGACATTTGTACTATAGCCGGGCCCATTGGCATAGCTAAGAGTGGCGTAGGGCAGGCCGTCGGCACCCAGCTGGCCGTTATTAATGCCGAAAATGTTGTTCTTGCGGCTGGAATATCCTGCTAACGACATGGTGTGCGAGTGATCCGATGTAACAACAATCAGAGTGTCCTCCACGCTGGTTTGGCTACGCCCCGTATGAACAGCCTTGTCAAACTCTGCTGTTTCATCGATGGCGCGTAATGCCATAGTATCGTGATGTCCGTGATCAATGCGACCACCCTCGACGAATAGGAAGTAGCCACGTCCCGCGCTCTGACGCTTCAGTATATCCAGCGCCACGTGCACCATCTCCGCCAGTGTGGGCTGCTCTTGCGCATTGGCGTCCAGATGATAGGGCATGTGATAAGGCGCAAAGAGACCCAAAACTCGAGAAGTTCGATTAGATAGACTCATCAGTTCGTCCCGCGTCTGAACAAAGTGAGCGCTATTGGTGTGTTGCTGCTTCCATTCCGCGATGAGATTTCGTCCATCTAACCTGCGACCTGGAGCGCCCTTAGCATCTGTAGCGCTTTGTGGTAAGAAATTCTCGCGTCCGCCACCCAAGATAACGTTCAGCTTCTGCCCCACTTGGCCGTGAATTAGCTGCATTGCTATGTCTGGGCAAATGGACGGATCTCCATTGTCCGATAGGACCTCGGCGTCGTTTTCCCAGTTCCTATTAGCAGCGTGTGCGTAGACGCCTGCTGGAGAGGCATGCGTCACGGCCGTGGTGGTGATGAGGCCAGTAGCCATTCCCTGCTCTTGTGCCCATGCTGCTATAGAGGACACATGGTGTTCCCGTAGCGCCTGCGCATGACAATCATTTAGCGGGACAGCAGCACTGACTCCAACCGTGCCGTAATTTCCCTTCACACCGCCCAAATAAGCCGTGGCCGTGCACGCCGAATCGGCTACCTGCATGTTGGCACAGTAGGTTTTGCTCAGACCAACATAAGGGAACTGCTCGAAGGCGAACTGCTTCTCCTCGCCCCCTAGATAAAGTCGACCGGCGCTAATGGTTGGTATCGACATGCCATCACCAAGGAAAAGCATTATATTCTTGGCCAGATGGGTGTTTAGTTGCGTCTTGGTCTCCAGCTGTTGCTCCAGCGTCTGTTGTGCCTGACCCAACCAATACTCGCCATATCGCTCCTCCGCTGTGCTCGCATCAAAATATAGTTTCGGCATTGCACGTTTTTGACGCGCCGTCTGCTCCATTGTCATCGTGAATAGTGGATGCATGCGCTGTTCATTGATTGACCGTAACACTGAAATTTAAAATGGTTTTCGGTTATTCCAGATTAAATAAATGATTACATAACAGTCATTATCGAAAGTGAGGTGAAAACATCTAGCTCTAGCTTTAATGGATAAGCAATCTATTTATCTGTGTCCAAACTATGCATACGAAGAACGTGCAAAGAGTATATTGCTACTATATTGGTAGCTATGTATACTTGTAGGTATGTATGTATATACAACCTTGCAAAAGCCTATAAAGTTGTAGTTGCTCATAACGGACAGATGTCAACAGGATGCGGAAAGGTTGGTCTGTTCGTTATTTTGTAGATTCCTCAGGTATCAAAGGAACCGAGCATTGATTTTGGATGCGATGGGTTGAAGAAAAATAACTTATTCCTCGACGTTTTTCAAAGAAAGTTCTAGTTACGGAGGAGGATATCTTTGTGTATATACTTGTATATAGTATAGCTCATTTTTCGTCATTTTTTCACTATGCTCATAGCATCTTTTAAGATGGAATACTTTCAACTCACCATGCGTGCCCCCTAGTTCCAGCACTCCCCCTATCACCAGTAATTGCATCAGCAGGTCCATTGAAATCCGTTTCCGAATTGTACTAGTCGTTGCACGTTTTACTTGTCACTGATAGCAAGTCTCACGAGACTTCGACTATTTATAGTGCACAGACACACTCGGACATAACCCGGAGGCGGAGACGCAACTCATGCTTATGGTGTCGTCTGTTTGTATGAACGATTTCATAACAGGCAGCAGATAATGGAAAAACTACAACTGATTGCGATCCGCGGTATTGGTGGCGGTTGTTGCCTGTGCACGTTACTGTATTTGTTTTTAAAAACAATTTCTGTTTTTCAATGTGCGTTATCAGCTCCGCCCGGCCTATATGTCGGCTTTCGGGTCTCCGTCTAGCACAACGTGCCACGCGATTTGTTCACGTGATCACCAACCATTGACCAATGAGACTGTACTGACCCTTTTTGGAATATTAACTATTCGTTTGCCTGTCCGTTTGCATTTATGCGTGAGTGTGTGTTTGCAGCCTAAGACGCGGCATTATTTTATTGCTGCGCTCACCTTTTGTTTGCATTCGGCACGTACTTCTTACGAAACCGTAAATGTAATGTAATTAGCGCTCAGGTTGTTCAGTGCCAAGCTCATTAGGACAGTACTGCCTGGTTTTTGAAATGCGCGCCCAAGCTCTGCATTTACTATGTGAATGGCAGAGAAGTGGACATGCCTAAACCGTTCTCTTCTTCTTAATTGTGGGGCCTCTGCACAGGCGCCAACTTTCTCTCGCAGCATCAAAACAAAAAGCACCAAGCGAAGGAGCCGAATTGTTTCATTTGTTTGACACGACTGTCAGTGGCTGATGCTCTATTCTCTCACTCTCTCAATTGCTCTCGCGCACAGTAGCCGTTATCTGCTGCTGCGCCAGCAAACATCTTCACAGCATCGTTTATGGCTAGCGCGCATTTGCCAAAATAGTTGTTGGTTCGCATGCAAAACGTTAAAATCGCATAAGCTAAAACATTTTTATACCAACGGCGCGTTTTTAATTTTTTCTACAGTACAAAAAATAGAGAAAAATAGAAAAAAAAACAACCTAAATCAGAATATAACAAAAAATTAGCAAAAACTTGTAGTAAAAATTGTTGTTTTTATCATGGCATACATATATAAATGTGAAGAAGCGCGTGTATAATTTGTATATACATATGTATATAATAAGAATTAATAAAATTTCAATAATTTTCGATAAAAGAAAAAACGCCAAAAAGGTAGCGTGTGAAAAATGTGCGTGTTTTGTGTAAAGCTGAATATCTTGATAGCTCTAACTAAATATTTAGTTTTAACTATTTCGCAATAATTCAAATTACAAGTTTTTGAGTGTTAAATTAAAGTGATGCGCTGGCATCCAACAAAGTTGACAGAAAACCTTACAGCGAGAAATTTTCAAACAAATTGTTTGAAGATTTGTGTATTCGTCTGTATAACTGTAAAAATTGCAAAGTATTAAAACCAACTTACACCCATACATACACATGAAAATCTTCAGAGGGCAGGCATTTGGCACAAAGCAGTAACCAAAAAATAGGAGGAAAAAGAAAACAACTTCAATTTTTCATACATAATATAATACAGTAAGTTGCTTGCTCTGCCTGTGCGTGTGTGTGTGAGTAGGGATTATGTGACTCCGTGAACATAAATATGTATGTATGTACTTACGTACAAAGATACACACATATACAGATAAAACGGAGGCTGGGTGGCAGCCAGCAACTGGACGCCCAGATGGCTGCCAGTGAGACATGCTCAACATAGTTTTACGTTTGACAAATGTATGCCTCCGTTTGTTTGTATGTCACATTGTGTGTGTGTGTGTGTGTGTGTGTGCGTGTGCGTGTGTGCGTGCGTGTGAGGCAGGAACTTTTTACTACATCCACGCCATGCCAAAAACGCATGAGGTTTCATTTTCTTTGAATATCTTGCAAGCTTACACATTCATATGTTTATACATATGTACAACTCGTAGTAGACAGCATGTTGCCAGAGTTTCGAAATGCATCCTTAAAGCATGGCATGTATTTACATACATACATTTAAATTTATACAGCGTAAAGTCTTTAATGAGTATTGATATTCCTGTTTAATTGTTATTGGAAGAAACATACATACTACATATAAATGTAAATTTATTAAAAGATTCATTCACACTTGTATATACATATATACTCGCATGGTTGTTTGTATGTACACGTATAACGGTATGCGTCAACTCATAACAATCTGGCAACTTTCAATTGGCTTCATTGACAGTTAAACCGAAAGTTATAAAAAGCACGAAAACACGCGAAGTTGTGCCGAGCGACAACAAAAGTAGCACCAACTACTACAACAACTACTACAACGGCGGCAACAACAATAACTTAGAAGTCAAACACGAGGCACCAAAAACAACAAAACCTAAGCAATTAAATAATAAAAAAGTAGCCGAAAACTTTTGAAAGCCGCATTCTGTGTATATGTATATATATCTGTATATCAATATACACAAATATCCTCACAGCATACGCATATACTTGTACATACATATGTATATAGATGTATCCCCCTAATGCGGAGGTGTGGCATTTTTGTATGAAGAAAACAAACTTTTAACATAGTAGCCCATATACACATAAATGCACATACATTCAGCATACAAGCTCACATTTACAACAGTAATAAATGAAAGGACATACATACGACTGCACACTGTGTCAAAGTTGTAACAACATTCGTAAAGAAAAAATGTAATGGACATATTACACATTATCTCTAAAGATGTACAAATAAATGGATGTCCGCACAGTGGGCAGAATCGATGATAAGTATTTAATAGGCATTTCCTATTCCTTAGTCAATCAAATGTTTCTTTTTTTGTCGAAAGGTTGACCAAAAATCGATCAAAATTAAAGATGAGGCATATTAGGCATGTACACATATCAAATTCAATTACTTTTAGAACAAAAACTACACCAGTAAAATAAAACATTGTTTGTTTGCACTTATGTTACTTGACTATATACTTTTGAGAACATTTAACTACTGGTTCTGAACCTTTCCTAATACTGATGGAAAATATTTGCACTACATTTATTTTATTAACTTAATTTCGGATCTTAAAAAAATATTTACTATTTGGTATTTAATATTAATTAAAAGGCAAATTTGAACATCAATGTTTCTTACCAAGCATTGTTTAGCCTTCTTTTTTGAATTAAATTTCATACTTATATGTATGTATGTATGTACGTATAGTTCTTACAAATGCCGAACTCCCATGTCTAACAATGTTTTCCTTCCTTTATTTAATATAAATGAAAAAGTAAATATTTCAAATTATTTTTATGCTTTCTCAATGGGATGGAAAAAAAATTGTTTATTTATTTATTTATTGTACTTGTAGGTTTTCATAGGTGACATTTTGTTTGAGTCCCATATGAAACACTTTTAAAACGTTTTGTCTTCTTATCTGTGGAAGTCGAAGCATATATAGTATATAAAGTATATGCAGTTTTGAACACGTATACCGAACAAAATTGCAAACTTTTTCAAAGGAAAAAGTGCAATTGCCAGTTCAGTACATCAGTTACTGTTAATTCGGGCGTTCCGACCAGGTCGGGTAATTGCTGCTGCGCACAATGTATGTTTGTTTATCTAAGCCATTTATCTTATTTAACTCATTTTAAATTAAGTTAAAGCCATGTGTGATCTTTAATAAAGTGAGACTAGATTAATGGGTATTTAACAGTTCAACATGCGATACCACTGTGCAGTTAGACAGCCAATGGTGAAAAGGATACACGAAACAACGCACGAACAAACGGACCGAACGCACGAATGGAACGAGCGCTGTACGAACGCTCCAACGATTCAGGGAGTTAACTTTACCGTTATTTCGTAAGCGTTGTGCGCTTCGTTTAAATGAGTGCTCGTTGAATGTGTGAGTAATTGGAGGATGCTGTCTGCGCCCAAGTAGCCACAGCTGCTCACTGCAGGGGCGGAGTATGGGTGGGTGGCATGGGGCGACAGGGTAAGGCACTGTGAGAGGAGGAGTGGTGGCTAGAGAGCAAACGACAACAAGCAAAACATTGATGTTACTCATGCTGCCAAGCAGACGTTGGCTTGCCGTTGCCTTCGACTTTGCGCTGCTGTTGTTGGGTTTTATGGCACGAAAAGGAGTGAAGTGGCGCCAGCTGAAGATTTATCTTTGTTTGAGTGTGTGTGTGTGTGTGTGTGTGTGTACGCGAAATTATGAAAGCATTTGAGTATGGGTTTGAGTAAGCAGCATGCCTGCTGATGGGTCTCCCTCCATATACATATGTAATATATGTGTGGGTGGGGGTTGTTTGGTAGCTGTTTTCTCTAAGTGTATGTGTATGTGTATGTTGAACTTGTAACGGTGTGGGTGTGCGCATGTTTGTGTGTATAACGCACGCTTGTGTTTGTTTATGCAGCTGTGCGAGTGTGTTTGTTTGGTTACCTTCGCATTGGTTGCATTTTGCTGGTGCCTCTGTCGATGTTGATGGCCCAGCATTACTGCAGCCCACAATTTGCGGGCGCTACGTGTGCACTTTGGGTTGCATTAAGAGGTGGAGGAGAGAGCTGGTGGTGGTGGTGGTGGATCAAAAGGACCTCGAAACTGCAACAGCTGCAGTGGTGGTAGGGCCAAAAGTGAAGCCGCGCCATCGACCTTCACCTATTTTTCGACACTTAACCATTGACTAACGTAGCGTAAGTTAAACGCTCCATTCATTTGCCATTTTTCCAACCCGTTTTCAACGTAACTGTTACCTTTAATGCGACAATTTCACATTCAACCATGAAGAGTGCTTGCTTGCTTGCTTTTTGTTTTTCCGTTTGCAACACTGGCGAGTGTGCATCGGCGCCATTTTGTTTTGCAATACTTTACAAACACCTACACAATCATAGTGCCCGCCATTTTGATGTAAGATAGCGATTTGCTTTTCTCTGTTCGATTTCCGCCCCTCCATCTAAACTAACATCGGTCATACGAGGTTCGAATGGGTAATATTTTTATGGAATTTAGTAAACTTTATTTTAAA